ATACAGGATATTTTACAAACCGTGTATCCTCCTGGCTGATTACCAATGAAGACTGTAGCATTCTCCCAGCCGTCTGTATTACTTTTAGAAATCTCCAGCAAGTCTTCCTTAGCGGAGTCTCTGCGCATTTGTACTTTGAGGCGTGCTGGAAATGTCGACTTATAAGTATGGTACCAGAAGCTGAAACAAATAACAGTCCAATCACAAAAACATCTGACAGCTAGCAAAGGGTATTTCACAACTTCAAATCAGATTCGACTAAAATCACAATCAATCAATCAATCAATCAATCAATCAATCAATCAGTATCTAACTGTAATATAGATAACTGAAAATAACAGATTCTTCTGAGTACCTGATCTGGCGTACCTGATCTGGCATCCCAGAGCTGCCCGCTTGTCAACAGAATACTCCAAATTAGCCGGAGAGTAAGAACTGACATTTCCAGGTATGTGCATGACATGTCCTGGATCCAACAGACAAATATCAATATCAATAAAGGCTTGATCTTGTGAACAAATCAAACACTTTTATCACTAATTTAAAATGCCTCGTCTGTTTAAAATTAATATGAGCAAAGTAATGGCACAAACAGATCATGATAAGAAGTTAATAATTACCCCATGAGGTTCCTGTGGTATGGTCCTGTCCAGGTATTGAGGTTATGTTTGCCATCTGCCGTCTCCACTGGAAGGAGGGAGCACTAATGACTTTCCAGCCACAGGTGTGATGCTCAAAGTCACACGACCCTTAAGGAGGGCAACAGAGAATAACGTCAAAAGTTAAATATCAAAATTTGCACATTGTGAGAACCTTAAAGCATTCTTATTTTGGTATCCTGCTGTTTTATATGTCCTGTATTGATTGTATTTTTCAAAGTTTTAAATATGTTTAAAACCCCTAGGCATCCATGTATTCATCAGTGAATACACTTAACATGTTTTAATTATTGTAACACAACTTTATTCAGAGAATAGAAGTTGTAAAAAATAGTTGACACCATAAAAATGTTTTTGGAGGGAAATTTGAAATAGTGAATTATTGACATTTTAAGCGATTTATAGGCATTGATAGACATTTAAATGAAAAAGACACAAAAATCTCTTTAAATGTAAATAGACTGTATTTTAGTTTTATTTCTATTTTGTTGTATTTGTGTGCATAAATAGTGACACAATATTTTTTACAACCTCGAAATGTTCCACTATAAAATTTTGAGTGATTATGACTAATGATCTGTACTTTCAGTTTATGCTGAATAAAGGATACCATGCTTTTGAGTTAACCATAGTTTAAAAGGTGCTAAACAAAGACAAAAGTGAATGCACAGAAAGTTGGCAGAAATTAACCAAAATCTATTTACTCTCAACACAAGGATCAGATGTTGTTGAGTTAATAAAAATCTAAATAAAGAATTCAGTTGACAAAGATTTGCAGAAAAGCCAGCATACCACAAAACTCCTCGTCAGAGCCATCTTCACAATCCTCCTTAAAATCACAGACAAGTTGAGCGGGAAGACATCCTCCAGATGTGCAGTTGAACTCCCCACCAGGACAAGAAGACACGATGACCAACAATACTGTAAAGACAGTTTTATGACAGTTTTATGACAAAAAGATTAAAAGATGAGAACCTGGGGACAAATGTGACTATCCCCTTCAATTACACTACAGTAATCTTTCTGTTTTAATTGATTAAACATCTCAAAGCTGCCAGAACACCACAGCTTGTTAATTCCATAATTATATGCATGTTTTTCAACAACTATAGACATTGTACAACTTGTCACTGTGTAGTTTATTTGTGACAACTCTGGTGACTTCTTCTTACTTGACCAGTATGCATATAAAACAACATGCACAACCTTAAGGATATAAAATGATATAGAAATGTGTGTGATATTTAGTTCTGAAGACCCTTACCTGACAAAACAAGTAATTGCTTCATATCTGGAGAAATATGACACATAGTCAGAAATCCAAAGAAAAGGCAAAATCCCTAAAGCATGACTGCTACCCCAGCTACCCCTCTGATTAACAGTTTGCGTCTGAATTATTGGAGTGCAACTTCTATTACAACAATTACGCTAAGGCCGTGAATCCTTATCGGTAAACCCCAGCTTAAAGTCCAGGGTGTACTCAGTAAACTGCATTATATTTCCGTTGCTTGTCTTTATGGCTCTCAGTGCATGCTTCAGTTGTTTTACTGAGCAAAGCAAAGCTTTAGATTACAAGAATGACCTAATGTCATAAATGTTCCAGGTGATAGTACAGATTCAGAATTTTATAGTCCCCTGTTGTACATGCAAACATTTGTAAACTTTAACTTCTAAAATGAAGTGAGGATACAGTATTAATTCATTAGTAAGTATTAATTTTGATTTTTCAAAAAGAAGTCAATTAAAATCAAACATATACCACTTGCTGTAATGCATCCAGTGAATTTACCAGAATCATGCGTATTTGAATCACAGTATATGTTGTAAGGCCGATTTCAGTGTGTGAGGTCAATGATAATAATTTTAACTTTGATAATCAGCTGTCAAACAGCTCTGGGTAGTAAAGCAGTTCAGTAAGGACTTCTGAGTGGTTTGACTCCTCATAAATAAGCCTTGACCCAAAAATACTGAACCGGTATGAATGCACTTTGACTGTTCAATTAAAATACTTTGGAAATACTATTACATAATTATTTTACATTATTTTATTCTTTTCACATTGGTTAAATGTGCAATGAAACACATAACCAACAAGGTTGCTTCTTTTCTTTTCCATCCAATAACCATTCTTTTCCTCCTACTCTGTCTTCTAGAGGGGCTGTAAACTCACGTCTGTCCAAGGTGTCAGGTCTGTTAGGTGTGCAGGCGTCTGGCCTATAAAACTGACAATGATAGTGTTCTGACAGAGACAGGACACTATCAAAACACCTGAGCCAAGGTCGGTGTGTTTTCAGGAAATCATGAACGAAGAGCAGAATCTCTCTCTCACGCACGCACGCAGGAGGGAGGCAACAGCAACGAGACTGACTTTCTATCAGCTGATAAGCAAAGAACAGCAGGTGGTAGACATGCTTTGGTAGACTTTAATCTTTTTTTTCTTAGCTTTCAAGTGTTGACAGAGACTTTGAAGAGCCGGTGGTGGTATTTTGTTCACTTTCCACACAAAGCCACCAATTTAAGGCAGCAGAAGTGACATGACATTTTCTGTGCTTGACTGAAAGGGAGCGGAAACCACACCAAACTACAAAATGGCGCTACGCTGATGATTTTCTGACCGTTATGTTCTTTTTTCCTCCACCTACACTTTATCACCATGTGCCCTTCCTTTATGATGACCAGAACAGAACTCCCTGGCCACTTGGTTGGATAGCATTTGGTTTGTCTTTTATTTAATTTCTCATGCAGTTACGTAAAATGAGCAGGGTCTTCCCTTTTTGTCCAGGCTTGAGCTGGGTTGTGACAAATTCGTCCACGATAGTCTCTGATTTTGGGATTTACCATTTTCTGTCGAAGTGGCAATTTGTCCCAGTTTGTTTTACAGAATATAGTTGCCACCTCCTGTGACAACTGGGGGTTTGTCAATTAGTTTGTAGTTCTTTGACCTTAAACTTAAACTGCAGTTTCTCTTCTTGGTTAATTACAAATTTGGGGAGTATCAACCATTAGCGCTGTAGTGTTGGAAAGGAGCATTATTATTATTTTTTATTATTTTTTCCCCTTTATATTGATCAGTCTTCAATTTGGGGTGATATCTGGTAAATGCTAATCCACTGTGCTTGGTGGTTTTCACATGTCCACTTGGATACTAGGTTTTTTGTACTTTAGGTTTTGACATCAAGCTGCAGTAGTGAGGTTGTTGCAGCTTGAATTACAACATCTTAATATATACATTTTTTTTTACCTTTATCATCACTAGTCCAAATTTAGAGTGACCCTTAAAATGTTAGGAGATAAACATTTGTATTGAGGACTTACAACAAAGCTACTCAGAAATTCCATTGGTATAAACCCACAACAGTATACAAAATTGTACAAATCCCACTTGTCCTACTTAAGAGTCTCAAACGTTAATATTTCAGCACAGTTGCACCAAAAGGAGAATCACAAAAGAGGAAGTGAGAATACAAAATGCTATGATAGATGTCAAGGAAGAGTTGGAGAACAAACCTCAACATCTGAATGCCTCTCCCCCAAAACAGGATATCGTGTTGCTACACTCAGGATGCACAAAATGTTCTCTTCATCAGCAACAATGCAATATCACTCTGGTCTAATAACCTCACAAGTAATTTGTGCTTCCTTACACCTAGCACAAATCGTTTCTAGCGTATAGGCGATCAGTGAATTCATGACATTTTAGTCTCTTTTTGTGATTGTAGGTAATCCACAATAGCACATTTGTAGTGTGCTATTATAGTGTTGTTCTTGTGTGTGTCATTGAAAAATGCTCTAGTGCTCTGCATGAAAAAAGGGAAATTATGAAAATATATAAATATATGAAAAATAAAAAAAATATTTCTTAAGAAAATCAGTGCATGCTTGCTGACAATGCAACACTCAAAACACTCACAAGCTTATTGCTGACTTCCTGCTAGGTGGTTGCTAACATTTTTAGCATTTTTAGTGGTGAGCCGTTGAGTTCACTCCTCCTCTATTTTGTTTTTAGTACTCTTCTTTTTTTTTTTTTACACCAGTGGCCGTTATCAGGAATATGAACCAAAGCCAGTGAGGATGGATGCTGGTCTGGACCACTGAATCTGATGAGTCATGTTTACAATGAATCTCTTATAAATCTTTTTTTTTTTTTTCTTTTCCCCGGGACAGGAAGTGAATGGGGCCACTTTTTGCTCTTTCTGGAGTGTGACATCCGTGCGAGCAAAAAAGTGTGTGTATGGTTGCCCATACTTCCCTCCCAACCCCCCACCCCCTTTTTACCAGTAGTAAAATGCTGAAATCTGCCAATCTGAAACATGACACTTACGCATTGAAAAGGAGGAAAAAAAAAGTGATAGTGTCAGTGCTATTAAGATTCCCTCCTTTCCATGCTCATGCTCATAAGTCCTCTGCTTGCAATGCATGGACAATGTCTGCGGCTGTGAGACTTATCAGAAGAATGCTGACCCCAAGGATAACTCTAGTGGCCTCGGTGCTCTTCATCCTAACATTTCACTGTTCAACAGCAAATGGTAAAGTATGAACTCAAGCTTTCATATGTAGCATATTCTGTATTTTAAGACTTTGTGCAAGGTTTGTATTTTACAAGTCTGGGAGATTTCAGTATGTCTTACTTACAGGTACTGATGTAAGGGTCAATTGTCCTTATTTGTTTTACTGTCTTACTGGAGAAGAAGCAAATTCAAATTCGGACATTCACTTTCCCACAGGATGGTTTTCAGAACTACTGCTAGCACTGATTATGTAAATGTATTATGTAAAATTGCAAATGATGATGATGAATTGATATCGTGTTCTTATGCATCTTTAAAAAATATTCCTAAAAGGTGCAAATTTGGGCAAAACAATCAACTGACTCAACTAAAGTGATAGACTGTATCGACGGCTATTTCAAGGATGCTGTGAGTGCAGCTCTAGTCTGTCAAAGTTGAACAGGAAATGTGTTTTGAACAGAAAAGCTCCAGTAGAAAACAACAAAGATAAGTGAAACAAATGAATCTTCAGAAAGTAAAAGTCTGCAATAAAAAAAAATAAATCTATTTTTATCTTTATGTTGTCAACTGTAATTTGGGGAAAATAAAAAAAAAAGAAAATCCTGAAAAAGAAGCACTCATAGACAGAACGTAAAACTATCTTTGTTACAAGGTAAATTTGTAATTTATGTTGCAAATACATCTATGCATGTGATAGGCTGTTCAAAATATAATTGTGTGGATCAATTCAACAGATTTTTTTTTTTTCAAATTTCTCTGCAGATGCCCCATTCTCACTCACTAACAAGGCCACTGGTTTCTGTTTGCTGAAAAAATTTACCCGCTGCCTTGACGTGCGCTGGACGACTAGTAACCGGCTTTATGCTGTCACAACCAAAAAGTGCCTGGGAGTGCAGGGCAAAAGTGTGGGGAGTGAAGTGAGCCTCTACGACTGTAACGACAAGTCTGACCTCCAAAAGTGGGAATGCAAGAATGGAACACTGCTCGCCCTGAAAGGCCAAGAGCTCTACGTTGAAATCAAACCTGATGAAACAATTGCTCTCTCCAAAACCATTGGGCCAAATAACCACCTCACAATCACTGGGACATCCAGCGGTGCTTGCACAAGAACATACAGAGGTAGAGTATGAAAACTTTGGAGGGCACCAGACGTGTAGCCATGAGACTGAACAGCACTCTCCCTTTAAATTGGCTCACATGACTTTGTGTGGCTACATGTTGTTACCTGGCAACTAAAACTTACTGATTTCAAACTGAAAACATCAGTTTAAGTATAATCAACTAGAACGATGCATCAAGCTCCTCATCATGAGATTTTGGCTGTGCACGCCTAGAGCACATCAATGGTGAAGAGAGGAGAAAGCAAACAAATGATTTAAGTCTGCCATGCAAATCTGGAAAAAAATGACACCATTGCAGAATAATATATTGATGACAGTTCAATTAAAGGAGATGTAATTTGATCAAACTATTTTTTCTCTTTTAGAACTTTATACCATCGAAGGAAATGCATTTGGTAAGCCCTGCATGTTTCCCTTCATGTACAAAGACCGGTGGTTTGGAGACTGCACTACGTTTGACTCCTCACAAAAACGTCTTTGGTGTGCAATCGAAACAAAATATGAACGTGAACAGTGGGGATACTGCCCGACTACTTGTGAGTACTGCATCTACGATTGAAATATCACTACAGTGAGTAGGCAGGAAGTGAATGTTGTACACGTCAGCGTTATATGCATCTTTAGGCAGATTAATTTGGTTTCAGAGCGCACATTAGTTCAGATTAGAAGTTATTCTGATTAGAGGCCTAGCACCAGTTTAGTCACATGTTATATGTATACAAAGCTCACAGTATTAAAGCACAATTTTAGGTTACAGTTATGAATTAAAATCTCTGAGTGAAGAATTTCATTTTCCATATTTCTGTATCAATAAACAGCCAGAGACCACTGGATGAAAAACCTTGTTACAGGAGCGAATTACCAGCTCAACCCACAGGCACTTCTGACTTGGCCTCAGGCTCAGGCCAGTTGCAAACAGCAGGGTGCCTCGCTGGTCAGTATCACTGACCCCCATGAGCGGGCTTACATCTCAGGTAAGGTGCCACCTGGTGGATTTTTGTTTTTAAACACAAATTATTAAAAATTGCATATATCAATCTGGGTGAAACTGTTTTATGTAAATATTATTAAATTTAAAAAAATGGAAGTAGAACTTCTGAACTTCTGCTGATGTAAAATGAAATTTTTAATTTAGAGGTCCCTTAAATTATCATCACATTGTGTTAGAAAACACAATATGATAATAAACGTATGCATCACTTTTGGATACGTTTAGAAAAATTATGAAATTCATAAAAAAATTATGTTTTGATAAACTGCTTTTTAATGAATCCGCTCTGACAACATGCTAAAGATGTCGTCTTAATGCTTGTATGTTTTCATTCAATGACAATGACACAAAAGGTGCTGCACTGAAACAAAGATAATGTCTCTTGATTTCTAAAAGAAATCTTCAGTTTAGTTTATTTGCATTTGACAAAGACAGCATAATCTAGCTGGATAAAGGTGACAAGCGTTGTTTTATGAAAAAACAAGAAATCATAGATAAAATGACCACCAGTTACTTTTTGCACCCATTAATGTCAACTTGTTTGCTACTGTTGGCTTCTATACACTGCACGAGCTTTCAAGAACTAGTGCAAACCTTTAAGACAGCAGCTATTTCATGCTCCACAACCTCACAGTAAGATCACACCAGTGTTTCTCTAAATAGTCCAAGGATCATTGTGACACTGTGAGCACAGAGGACAGATTGTGAAATCCATTTTGTACATGAGTGATACGAAGCCTCTGCACTTTGTCTGCAAATCTGAAGGTGTCATTGGGCCAATCACCTTCAATTAATTTAGTATCACTTTGGTTACAAATTATTAGATGCATTGATAAATGTTCAGTTTGTTTTGATGAATTCACAGACAAAATATTTGAAGCCTGATATTCATTAGGGACATGATCAAATTTGATTGTTATAATTTCTTTTTCTATACAATACATTGCTTCCCTTGTGTTTTTGATGCACTACATTTAGGTCTTTGTGGTTGTTTGATTTCTGTCTTTTTGTGGATTTGTTATTAAGCAACAAAAAAGGAACAGTCTGAAAAAGAGGAACAAGTTCTTAACTCTGTCCTTTACTCTTTTTTTTGTCCCTCACAACCACAAAAACACACATAAACATGCAGCACTGTTAGGATCATCGAGGCAAAAACTTTGGACTGGGCTGGTTCTGGACCCAGAACATGGATGGCAGTGGTCAGATGGGAAGCCTTTCCGTTATCTGAGATGGGGCACTGGTAAGTCGCTACTCCAGTAAAAAGATGTAAAATGGAGTTCCCTTAAGCCCTAACCCTCTGAGATACACAGAAGTGAACTGAAAAGCAAAAAGAAAAGTTGTTCTATTAAGCAAATCCCAGATGTAAATTGTGTGTAACTTCCCCCTGTAACTTGTCTTCAAGAGTGATCATTCATATAACAAGTCCTCCTTTTAACCTTTTGTAAGAAATGAAACAGTCTTTGCTGCTTACAGTACAGTTTTCAACAAAAGGTTAAAAAAAAAAAAAAAACACATTTTAAACCTTAAAGCTGCTAATAGCAATGCTATTATGTATTACCAATGGATCACATGACTACTTGTATATGAAAAGGGTCATGTGTAGTGATGAACCCACACTGAATAATCTGCCGCGCCTCTCAGCTCTTTGGAGCATTATAGCGTCTCATCAGCATCGTTTCCAGACGTAGGCAGCTGAAGAGTTGAGAAAAAGAGTTGATGAATTCACTGTACGCTACCTGCCCACCACCAAACAGCAGACAGACAAAGTTAGCAACCAGCTGATAAAGAGCCAGATATTTCCCTCAGGAATGATTGGAGATCAAAAACAGAACTAAAAGGAGAGTGTTTACTGGACTTATATTTGGCAGGTGGCCAGAAACATGCCTCCAAATAAAAGCTAATGTTGCTCTTTCTGTTGAATTTGTAAATAAGCAACTGCTTGCCAGTACCTAGCGTTTTCTAGCATCTGGTGATATCAGATACAAGAAAACAAGAATGTTAAATGGTAGTATAAATGCAGTGTTTTATTCATATCTAAAATTTACAATAACTCCTACAAATTATTCTGGGATTTTACATCATTGGAACATGCAATGCAAGGATATCCACTAGTAAATAACAAATCTCAAGTTATATCTTGATGTTTTTTTTTTTGTTTTTGTTTTGTTTTTTTTAGGAAACCCACTTCCTAATCCAGGACACAACTGTGCATTTCTTGACTCCGCTGGGCAGCATACTTGGCAAAGTTCATCCTGCGTGAAGAAAATGGGCTACATCTGCTACAATGATGGGACCCCGCCAGCTCCACCACAAAGTACAGAAACATATTCTTACCTCCTTTGACGTCTGTAACGTTTCTTTATCGGACACACTCACTGTATGATATCAATCACTCAGTCGCATATATCTTTGTTCTTTTCATCAGTTGAGCAAGGATTTTGTTCAAGCCCCTGGATTCCCTACAATGGTCACTGCTTCCACCTTCAGCGTACCCCTCAAACATGGATGAATGCTCAGAAAGAGTGTCGCAAAGAACATGGGGACCTAGTGAGCATTCGCAATGTGGAGGACCAAAGCTTTGTCATCTCTCAACTTGGATACAGTATGTGATGAGGCCATACATGAAGACAGTTCAACTTTCACAAACAGTTGAGACAGTGGTGATCTGTTTTTCGCTGAAGAATGATTTTAAAACTTTTTTTTTGTATTTGACTTTAAGTTCAAGTGACTCACCTATACTGGAGAAAATCCTATATCTTGACAAGTTGGCATGTTCTCACCTTCAGTTTGCTGCGTGCCTCATTTTCCAAACCCATTAAGGTGGCCTATGGAAGAAAATGAGACTTTTTATAATAATGTTCATCCCTAAAATCAACACTTTTAGAATTTAATTCTTTAAATTTAAATACTCTGTGATTGTTCATGTTTACTGATGTACAGATGCTTCCAAAAAAAATAATTTTAAATGTAAAGAGCATTTACAACCGTGACATCTCAGCCACTGGTTCATCTGTGATACACTCTTTAATGTCCATGTCTGCAGCATCCACTGATGAGCTTTGGATTGGACTGAATGACAGGAAGACAGAGGGGCTGTTTGACTGGAGTGACCAGTCTACTGTCAGCTTTACCAGCTGGAAGTATGGGAAACCAGCTGTCTCCACTGCTGAAGAAGACTGTGTTCTCATCACGGGGGAGGTAAGGAACATTATGTGGGTATAATGGCGCATATAAATAAACTTCTTCTCCACTTCTACTTCTCTAAACTTCATAAATTTGTATCTGGACACATCATACATGGCAAAGTGTCAGAAAAGCTTCATGCAACAAATTCTTTGCAGTACCCACCAAGAAAAAAGGAAGAAAGCAAAGTAAAAATGAAAACATTTTTGTTCCTCATTAAAGAAATGTTTGCACAAGGATTTGAGCTTGACTTGTGCACAGAAACAAAGTGGTCACTAGCAAATAAAAAAATCCAAAGGCCAAAAAAAAAAAAAAATAGTCCATGAAAAAAAAATCTTCACTTCTCATTCAGTTTTCCCCACAATATAAAACTGTTTTTTAAAACATGTAGACTATCCATCCAGTAAAGCTACAAATATTGGTTTCATAAATGTCTTTATGCTGCTTTCTTCTTTCAGAAAGGGAACTGGGCAGATCGCTTGTGTGATGAGAAACACGGCTTTATCTGTATGAAAGAGAGTGAAACTGAACGCACTGGAGATGAGGTAGAGCTGGACATAGGCTGCAAAGCGGTGAGTGAAGTTTACAAGTATTTGGCCTTCATGAGCATCCGGCTAATCAGGGTGTGTGATTAAAACTCTGAAATTAGATTTTGGAAAAGTGACTGATTAATTCACTTTCATTCACAAGTCATCCCTCTCTTGTAGAATAATAGAATAATAATGCAATTTTACTCTTCGTTTAAAAATATTAATTTACAATAATATGGTCATTCAAAATTTCAGTTTTAACCAGTGCTCAATTTCCAACAGGGTTGGAAAAGACATGGCTCCTACTGCTACTTTGTAGGAACTGAGACAAAGACTTTTGATGAAGCTAAAAATGACTGCAAGAGCTCAGAGTCCTACTTAGCTGATGTTTCAAATGGGTAAGAAAATAACAATCATATTTTGTTAACACTAACAACTGTTTATTTAAGAAGTAATATATAAAATGCGGAAATATTTCCAGGGTGGACAATGCATTCCTAGTCAGCCTGGTAGGCTTGAGACCAGAGAAGTACTTCTGGCTTGGACTCTCAAACCAGAAAGACATTGATCAGTTCGTGTGGACCAACACAGACTCAGTGAGGTTTACTCACTGGAACGCCGAAATGCCGGGTATGGAGAAATATAAAATTCCGTCTTTAGATAGTAGGGATAAAAAGCAGCGGCACAATTTACAATTGACTATTTTTTCCCCTCATCAAGGTCATCGACAGGGCTGTGTTGCCATGACAACCGGGATTTTGGCTGGACTCTGGGATCTGCTGCCCTGCACTAATCAGGAGAAATACATCTGCAAACACCTGGCAGAGGGGGCAGTTTTAACTGTTCCACCACCAACTCAAACACCTCCTTCGTGTGCAGATGGTTGGACTCGTGTGGGAACAAGAAACGTCTGCTCTAAGGTACAACCAGAGGTCAACCTCAGCTAAGCACAATTAAAATATGTTACATACTGATACCGGCAGCACAAGCAGAGTTTGAGCTACTCCAGTCAATTCAAATAACACACACACCAACTGTGGAACAATTTCAGTACCAGATTAATGCTGATGGTGATAGAGAGGTCACTTTTTACAAACACTACTTTAAACTTCTACTACTGTATGTGTGCTCTTATTTCTACAAAGTATGTTCTCTTTACTATGTAAATATTTTTCTGCATTTAGTTATTCTGTGCTATGATGGAAAAATGTGTTTACAACCTAAAACCTCCATAATATTTAAAATATTTCCTATCACACAAAGTCACATAAAATATGAATTATGAGATATGATAGAAAACAAAAATTGGTTTACAAGTGCTTTTTTAGTCTAACACATATTTCTTACCAGTGTGCTTTGATAACAGAATGTGTGTGTTACGGTACAGAGTGTTGTAGCAGTAGAGCTTTTGGTTCACTCTCTCTGCTCTTATAAAGTCATTTCCAGCCAACCACCGTATACTACCTGACACACACAGTTAGTGACTAGCTGGTAAATGTATTTGCAACTTGTTTCCAATGCCGCCAGTGGCCAAAAAACTCAGTTAATTTTGGGTTTAAAAACAAGTCAAATATATTTTTTTGAGGAAACAAATTCAAATTCTATTCAAATCATCTCATGTCCGGTGTATTTTAATTTAGCCCACGCTTCTTGTCTTTAAGTTTTTTACAGGGCCTCGTGCAAATGAGAAGACCTGGTTTGAGGCCAGGGATTACTGTAGGGCTATTGGAGGAGACCTCCTCAGCATCCACAGCCCTGCTGACCTACTAGTGGGACGGTATGAGATAGTTAAATACATCTTTAACTTAAAGTGGAAAACTGAAATCTAAAGCATTAATCCAGTAGTTAATGTCACACTTACTTAGCTGGCACCTCTTCTTTACAATGGCTTCTTCAGCTCCACCATCTTTGCTGTAGCTCATCGCTTGAGTCTTGCCTCTAGAGGACGTCAATGAGCGGAAAGTTAAATATTTTAGCCGCGTTACAGAGGAGCAATGAGACATAGCATCATCAGATAACTGCAGAATTAGTGAAAGCTCTGTGTTTTTGAATTATAAAATAAAAATGGATGATCAAATGATTTATATAGGTTTTTTTTTGCACTGCAGACATGGAAAAGGCTGGATTGGACTTCATGTCCCTGATCCAAACACTGGTTATGTATGGAGTGATGGATCCCCGGTTAGTTGTCTGTTCTACCTTTTACAACTCATTTGATAACTAAAATGCTTCAATCTCTCTCTTTTTAATATGTATCCATTTATTATAAAAAACAAACAAAAAAATCTATTATTTTCTTTATGTTTACAGGTAAACTTCCAGCACTGGCAGGAAGGCGAGCCAAACAATTTTAATAACGCAGAATCTTGTGCTGAATACAAAATATATAACTGGGATGAGTCTGGGTCCTGGAACGATGTGAACTGTGAGAGTTACAATGACTGGCTGTGTCAGATCCGCCAAGGTACAGTTGAGAAAACATTTACTGAATACTCACTTTTATCTCCTCTGAAACAAAGTATGAAGAGAAATTATTTTTAACTATCATCCAGGACACACTGTATGCATAATCTTTCATGTGTGATTGCCTTCTCCCATTCTGCAAAGCTTCCTACAAGCCATAGACTTCTCACAAACACATCCCAACAAAAGGTTACAGAGAGGGGTTAAGAGTTGATTATTTCTTTTATATTTGGCCAGTAGCCAGAACAGAAATCTAAACTACACTACTAGACCGAAAGATAATAAATCCAAAAAACATGCAATATATAACTGATATTTTTCTTAATCATCAAAGTGACAGATAAGGTGCAGTTAAGAAAATGAGCACAATCCAAAAACATCTATGAAGATATCGGTAGTTCTAGTGACACAAGAGCAGTACAAGGGGACGATTAACCCAGGACAATCAAGTGAAACCAACTCTCTCAACAGTCAATGGTCCAATAGGTTTAAAGAAACCACAGCACTTGCTACATGCATTTTAAACCTCCAAATCCAAATCCAGTGGGAGAAAGACCAAAATACTATACCGAATCATAGGGTGATGTGGAATTAAACATATACTGAACTACAGTGTAAGAAATTTTAGTCTTCTTTATAGTCTTCTACCTCTCAGTGTAATGTAACACCACAGGAAACTACAATCTCAAAAATAAACATATACTTAACTTATTACATCTCTGACAGCGTCAATCAAAGGTTAACATAATTGTCTTTGTAAATGTATAATTATGGCAGAGCTGTTGTATTGGATTGCACGTTAAATTCTACTGGTGTACCTAATTAAGTAGCCACTGAGTGTATGTTGAAGATTTTTGTCTTTCTGCACTTTCTGTCTTAAATTTGAGAAAATCTAAATAAAAAACACTACAAATCCTCTACTGCCCACATAATAAATGTGAACTCCCTCAAATATATTCAGAGTTGAAAGTCAGCATGACCTTTGGTGTGTTTTCTAAAATGTTGAAGAGTACTGTAATTCTACTGTACCCAAACATACACTTTAAAAGTATATGTATAAGTTTTAATAAGTAAGGTCAAATGATACATTAAGTAATCCCACAGTATGAGATTAGACACAAAGTAGGAAAGAATGGCGGACATGTTTGCTATGTTAGCTTTGTTTGGACTGAAACTGACAGTTGTTTGTGCTCTCACAGGAATGACTCCAAACCCGCCTCCAAATACAACCACAACAGGTAAGTGGACATTGTTTAACCACACACCCACCCAGGGTGACAAAAAAACATAAGCCAGCTCTTACCAGCTCGTGATTATATGTCTGCGTCAATCAGTTAAGTTGCAGGATACCATTTGGACACAGTGACCTTTGACCTTTGTCCACCAAAGTCCAATCAGTTCATTTTTGAGTCTAAGTAAATGTTTGTGCCAAAGAAATTCCCTCAAGGTGAGGTTTAAATTCTCTCTGTTTTGCCTCTGGCAAAACATAATGCCTCCAGCCCTGGTTGTCACCAGCATGAAGACATAAAATATAATTTCTATGTTGTTTAACCTTTCACTCAACAGACAATACGTAAACTGTAAAATATTTACTGTAAAAAAAAAAAAAAGGAACATAAAAATATGTTTTTAAAACTCAAAATATAATTTTTTCTCAAACCTCTGCAGAGTTTAATACCACTTCAGATGGCTGGCTTGTGTGGAGAGGGAATCAGTATTACATTAACAGAATGTCCATGCCCATGGAAGACGCTCGTCACTTCTGTCAGAGGAGGCATGGCGACTTGGTATCTATCAGCAGTAAAGATGAAAATGTGTTCTTATGGAAACAGGTAGGTATTTTTTTGGTTTGAAAAAGAAAAACAGCACATTCAAATTTGGCACATATTGTGTTTACTGACTAGAAATGAAGGTCTTAAACTTTCATGTATTTCTTAATGTGTGTGTATCATCACAGATTTCCAGAAGCTATGGGCACTATTATATAGGTTTGTCAGTGGATCTTGATGGGTCATTTTGGTGAGTATCAGTAAATACCGTAAAATGTAATACAGTATGTATAGTATATATAGCATTGATATCTTTATGTTTCACAGAAAGAGAAAAGAGAGGGATTTGATTTATAAATACTCAAAAAAGGATTTTGTTGACATATATTTTGCATGTAAAAAAAGATAAATTAATATTATATATATATATATATATATATGTAGCCTGGTATATAGACGGAATAACTGATTTTTCAGGTATTATTTCAATCACTGACTCGTCCAATGTTCATCCAACTCACTCCTTTCACTCATAAGCCTCATTAAGCCAATCAAATGCTTCAGTTTGCCTTTATAAGCTGTTCTTCTTGATTTTAGTGGGTTTGTTGTAAGTTGACTGGCTACATTTATGGTCAGCCCTACATTGAACTGTCATCTGTTTATTTACTATATGCAAAATGCTAACATGATTGATAAAAGGGTCCATTGTCAAGTGCTTTTTGTTTCCATGATTACATAGCTCATCTTAACTGTGTGTGCTTCAAGGTGGATGGATGACACTCCAGTAGCACTGCAAAGATGGGATGAAAATCAACCTAAAGCTGATGCCTTTGATGAGAACTGTGTTACTATGGCTTACTACATGGGTAAGTAATCTAAAGAGTGGCATGCAACAAATGGAAGAATTTAACCAAGTATCAAAGTGAGATAAGACGTTCTGGATAAGTTTAATATGCTGCTGGTGAAATGTTACTCATTGCATCTCTGCTCTGCTCACAGGCTTCTGGCGCACTTGTAACTGTGGCCAAGAGCACCAGTCCATTTGTAAACGAGGATCCTCACCACCTGTCAACACCACTGCAGCCCCAACTATTCCTCCTAAAGGAGACTGCCCACTCAAGTGGACAAAATTTGACTCAAAGGTTAGAAGTGGTTCCCAATGCGCTCTTAGAGCACTTTTTATTTTGATAATAACAATATTTTTAAACATTTTTAGCGATCATTTCTTTAAAAAATTAAATCAAATAAGATAAAATAATAATTATATAGATATAAAGATAAATATATCTATAAATAAATTTAAAATGTTAACAGAGTTTTGTAAACAAAAAAAGGACAAAGGCAAAGTCCCATGAAACAAGGATAACAGTTGTTTGTAGAGTGAAAAATCATTATTTTATTTGTTACCGACAGTGTTATAGTATCAATTCTGCCCGGAGGACCACCTGGGAAGAAGCAAGGAGACAGTGCATTACCATAGGAGGAAATTTAGTCTCTATTCCTACAAGACGTGTGCAAGGTTTGGTCTGTTTTTATGTATTTTTTTTATAATGGTCAAAATCATATACAACCATGTCTGCAATGTAAATAGAGAGTGGGAGATTTATTCTTGACCTTCGAAACAGTTGCAAAAATATATTCAGGAAAAAAGAAAATCCCCCCAAAAAAAGCTAGAAAGTGGATCCTGAGTTGTTGTTTTGTCAAACTAATTAAAGCGCAAGTTAATCATCATCCTTTAGTTGCGAGTGTTTTCTTATTCTATTGTGGCAATGTATTTTGGATTTCAGGATTTTGTTTTATATTGTATGTCTGAAATCCTTCAATGAATCAAATCGTATCACATTTCCTATTATATGTTGGAAATTATTCCAAAATAAGGAAAAAAACTTAAAATTTCTATGTTTAAAATTTTCAGCATTTTTGATCACCAAAATGGCTGAAGTAGCAAATACAGACCTGTGGATCGGTTTGAATGGCATAAAACACGATGGATTTTACTGGACTGATGGAAAACCAAGGCGATATACCAACTGGGGCTATTCTGTAAGTACATTCAATATATGTACAATTGCCATATAAATTACCAGCTGTAAATCCTGTTTTTGCTGACCTCCAGTGGTTTAACTTGCTGCACTTTCAGAATTGTTACACCCCTAGTATTGAGTTAGGCATACTGTTTAATAATATAATATCTGAAATATTGTTTATGCTAATATTTTGATTTTAATAAATTTGTTCTGCTCTTTAGAAAAATCAACATCGTCCTGGGACATTTTATCAAAGATGGAATGAGGTAACATTTCCAAGATTCAGGTTAAAGTAAAATAATGCTTGTACTTACTTTTTGTCATGATGTAAAACAGACAAAGATTCATTATTTTTAAATTAGATGTCATGGTGAAAAGATTTGAAATCCTAACCACTCCCCTGTCCTTAACCAGGAAGACTGTGTTGTGATGAGCAATAATCCAAGTCTTGGCACCGGTAAATGGTCGATTAAAGCTTGCAACGACACCAATGGATATGTCTGTCTTCGAGATCTTGGTGAGTTTATCCATTTTCTGCTTTATAAATGATCTGAGGCTTAAAAGGAATATAATATGTTGTTTAATTACAGTATGTCTTTTGTCCTGAAGTGCAATTGGTATACAGCACTATTCTTCCCAAAAATCAGTATTGCATGTATCCATGTATTAGAGTGAGGTCTCTAAAACACAGTTTGGGAAATTGTTAGTAGTAAATATGACACAGAATTCGTAAATAATTGGCTGAATTGTAAAACTTTAATTTACAGTTCCTGTGACAATAATTCTGTAAGAATTTTTGTCTTGCTCTCGACAGACTCAAACATCCCGGCTAAACCAGAACCAATAGTTCCTACAGTCTATGTAGCTCTGGGAAATGACAGCATCAAGGCTGTGACTCAAAATCTAACCTGGGGTGATGCCAAGAGACACTGCGAAGGTGAGCAAGCGAGCTTGGCTAGCCTGCGAAATGAATGGACACAGGCCTACGTTGAGCTGCTGGCTATGAATCTCAAATCTCCTCTGTGGATTGGACTGAACAAAAATCAGGTACAAGGCTGCAACCATCTGGAATTACTGTACTGTAGCACGAAAACTCCTACTTCCACTGGATGATTAGGTTAAAAAATCCTTTAGTAATTTATCAAGGGATTAAGTCACTGAATGAACAATTAACCAGAATTAGTAGCTTCAAGAAATACCGCACAGAACCCCCACAAGGCAGCTGAAACAAAAACATAAAACTGAACATCTGTTTAATCTATCAATGTTGCAAGCCAACTACATGCTGATGGATTTTAATAATTTGATCCATCCTTGCTTTTAGACTGGAGGTTACTTTAGGTATACTGATGGCTGGCACCTGAACTTTGCCAGCTGGGCTGAAGGCGAACCTAGCAGGGAACGACCTTGTGTGTACCTGGATGTGGACGGAAAATGGAAGACTGCTTTGTGCAATCGGACCATGAACAGTGTTTGCATGCAGTCTACAGGTATGTATGTAAATGAATACAGTGCATCGGTCAAAACAAGTGTCAGCCTGTGTAGGTTTAAGTGATTCTACCATGAATTATACTGTATTTTTCCTACATCTACGGCATACTCATTTAAGCTTGTTAACATAGCGCTGATCTACTGTATGACTGTCATATAAGGTATTATATTCACCCTGTTCTATATGACTACAGTGACTAATGTCAAGCATTCAGTGCTCATTAATGTCTTTAAGAGAACAATGTTGAAAGCAAGAACTCACTAGAGATAAGGTCTGAAGCTCTCAGTGACTGGAGGGTTTAAAGTAATAGAAACAAGACTTACTTTGATAGAGTGTGGGCGAGTGAAAAAACAAAAATCCATTTAGCATTGGAATTGATGATTTGGCTAAAAAAAGAAGTCAATTTGTCTCACACCATAATACCTAATAATATCTTTTCACTGGACTGAGCTCTATGCTCCTACATTAGCATTGTTTTTACTGAATTCAGTGGACATTGCCCACATTCTATCAGAGTGTTTTTCTTACTTTATACCCACACTGAAGTTAGTTTGATTCCAGAAGTCCTTTGTTAAAGAAATTTATAAGCACTGATTTTGGGAAAAAGAAGTCAGTTCACTGAGATACAAAGCTAAATCCTACATCCTTGAACTGTGTCACAGCTAGTTATGGCAATGATCAAGAGGACCAGTATATAAAGGTTTCAAGTTCACTGCATTGAATGTCACAGAAGGTAATCTTGTAATTAATCACCATCATCATCACTGTCTCTGCCACTCACAGATGTGGCACCAACAGAGTCAACCAACTTCCCAGGAGTTTGCCCTGAAGAGGCAAATGCGGATTATCAACAGAGTTATACCTGGATGCCATTTAAGGGTCATTGCTATTTGTTTATCACAGATGAAACTGAATGGCCAAATGCAGCTAGCAACTGTGCAAGGCATGGTAAGAGACACACACATTCAGAGGAGGACTCCCAAATTTAGATCAAGTGTAGATAAAGTGTATGGTGTGTAGTTTACTGATTTCAGTACATGTGAATAATACAGCACCTAGCAATATGTTTTAAGTAAGGCTGTTTTTGTTTGTGAAGGTGGAAGCCTGGCTACCATTGAAGATCCTTCTGAGCAACAATTCCTCCAAAGCAATGTGGAAATGTTTCAAGACAGCCACACCTCGTTCTGGATTGGCCTGTATAAAACTCATAAAGGTATAATCACACTCTTGAAAATCTTTAAATGAAAAGAGATTTTTTAAAATAACACCGTATTTAATGAAACCAATTTTAGTGAAAGGTTTAAACAAATCCATCATAGTATAATTGTCCTGTTGATAAAAGTGAACCAGACTTCAGTAACTAAATTGGAGCTGAAATGTCTTATTCTAAAGTACTGTTTTCCTCTTTTATTTTTTGTTTCCTTGTTTCCTTTTCAAACACACCTCGACAGGACTAACACAGCAGACATAATGGTACATACTGATATAAAAATGGTTATCTAGCACACTATCAAAGTGAAAATAGTAACACCCTGAGTTTGTGTTTGGCCCTAGGGACATGGATGTGGTTGGATAAAACAGTCATGGACTACACTAACTGGGCTGAAGATGAGCCTGATTCTGAATTTGGAGCTATATCAACCTCAGATGGGATTTGGAAGACAGGTCGTAGATGGCATGACAGACCATACATCTGTAAGACACCTAAAGGTAAGCTCATCATACCCTTCTAAATATATTTTCATAAGCACTTCTCACACGTGTAGCTTGTTCAATAATCCTCCGTTGTATGGGGGAACCATACGCAAGACTCTGCTAAAGGTCCATTTTCCTAAAAAGCTTATGAAATGAACTTTTTAGCATATAATGGCGGATATTGCCACCTGAGCACAGGGGATGTAAATAATACCATGTGCAATAGGAGATGCATAGAAATGAATAAAATCAATTCGATTTTTATCACTGACTTCATAGTTAAAGATGTTGTTGTACTGGACTACATTACATTGAGAAGTGTTTCTCATTTTTTTCATCCCCATGTATATACATGAGGGGGCAGAATATCAAAGATGTCTCTCAATACAATGTAGTCCAGTACGACACCATTACTAACTAGTATAACCTTAATGCTAAAGCATATTTTAAACTTATGTGACAGTGTCAACAAAAACTGAACATTATGGGCATGGTAACAGTAGACATTATGGCAGAACAGTTGTATTGGATTGCATTAGCTTGTACCTAATAGAGTGATCACTGGGTTTACATATAAGTAAATTCTAAAACATTACTATTATATTCCTCTAGGATGAGGCTAAACAAAATACTGCCTTATGTAATATACATTTCATAAAACAAAAAAAAATGCCCATAAACTTATATTCAGTCATCACCATTTTCACTATTTGGTTAAAAAGCCTTGACCAGCTGATGTCTCAGACCTACAGACATTAGCAGATACTCACTAGCTTTACTGGAGATATGCTTTGTCAAGGTTTTTTGCCTTCACTCAACTCTACAACAAGTAAAACACACTTCCTCAGACTGTGGTTAGGTGACTGTCTTGGTTGGTCAAACACATCCCATTGTTTGGCCATTAAATTAAAAGAAAGCTTAAGTTACTATGTACTGTATAAAAAATGCTTCAAGTACTTCACTGTTCACCCAACATGGATATAAAATCCCCCAGATAATTATAAAGCTAAAAGTAAGCTCTTTAACCACAGTCACTGTGCTGGAGTACAGAGCTAAAGTTTATGCAGCCAATTATACAGCTTGTTTTTATTTTATGTGTTTACTGTGCACTGCTGAGCAGTTAATACTAGAATTTTATGGGTAGATTGGGGAGTGACAGGGTCAACATGGATACAGGGATGATGGCATAGCATGGAGAAAAATGAAATGAAAAAAATGAAACAAATGTACATTCTTTAAAAAAGAGATTAGTTATCTGACCATTCTTCCCTTCATCCCCACCAGTGATACTCAAAGATTCAGGGTCAAAACCTGGTAAGTTACACCTTTGTATCTACTTAAGCTGTGTAGTATTTGAATTATCAAATGGTCAAAAAAAATATTGTCATTATAATGATTTTTATACTCAAAGTTAAATTTTGAATTGTTTGGACTAATCACTACTTGGTTAATCTGTGCAGAACCTCATGGAGGTCAGGATCCTCGCAGTCGTGTCCACACGAGTTTGGTAGTTGTGCTGATCATTGCCATCACTTCTTCACTGATAGTCATAGCATTCTTCCTCTACAAGAAGTCCCCTCGGCCCTTACCCACCTTTGACAATCCACTCTACTTCGACAGTGAAAGATCTCAGCCCGATGTGGTGGACACCAATAAACTGATAGAGAATGCAGAGGTAGAAAATCCTGAGCCTATTATAACTCTGTGATTTATAAAGTGGCAGAAACTAGTGGGACATACACGATGCTGTATCTCAGACTGATGTATTACACTTTCATTCATGTTTTTGCTTGGTTTGTTTGTTTTTTTACTATAGACAGTCTATATTCAGTTATTTAACAGTATGTCACAAAGTGTGAGTTTCAATGGAGTTGGCGATGTCTAACCTCATGGAACAGAACAATTTAGGCTCTAGGATGTCTCAATGGAAATGATTAGTATTTGATTTTTTTTGATGACTGAATGTATATAATTGTTACATGTTATGCTTACGCCCACTAGATGCTGTTCATTGCTTGTACTCTTGAAATGCGCAAAAATCTCACTGCTTGTCACTTTTAAATGAACATTAAACTGTGTTGGCACAACACAATAAATTTCCATTTGAGTTATTTTTTACTAAATAGAATTAACGGGGTGCTCTGGTGGCTCATGTGGTACAGCGTGTACTATTACAGCTTAGTCTTACCGCAGTGGCCCGGGTTCAAATCCGGCCCGTGGTCCTTTGCTGCATGTCATTCCCTTTCTCTCTCCCTGACTTTCCTGTCTCTCTCTCACTGAGGCAACGATAAAAAAAAAAATGCCTACAAAAATAAATAAATGGAATAACCACCTTGTGGTTGTATTCCTCCGCCTAACAGTCACTCAAAGACTTTGAAGGAATTCAATAAAAGGTATTAACTGTATTTTTTTTTTGTTGTTGCCAAAATAGAAGTTATCATAGATGTATTGGCATGTACGATTCCAGTGAATAATTTCCAGAGAGAAATTTAGAGACTATAAGTTTACAGATGACTGAGAGCTGACTGCCAGAGGAACGGGAGGCCCCTGTCCTGGTTGTCATCCAGGGAGAAGTGAAGAAGGTGGACTCCTACAAGTCAAAAAAATTGACCTTTGACATTTTGAATACAAAATGTCATAATTGTATTGTATTAAACATTTGTGTGAAACTTTGCCATAATTATCATATGAATTCATGTAGCGGGTGTGACAAAATGTGTTTTGTGAGGTCACAGTGACTTTGACCACCAAATTCTAATCTGGTCATCCTTGAGTCCGAGTGGGCGTTTGTGCCAGATGTATTGAAATTCCCACCAGGCGTTCATGAAATATCATGTTTATGAAAATGAGACAGACAGACCACCCGAAAAACACAATGCCTCTGGCCACAACTGTAACCGGTGAGGAGGCTTAATAAAATGGCACAACAGGTCATTTCATTTTCCAGCATTTTCCCTGTCTAGGTGTTCTCTTACAGACAACTAGTACAAAAATGTAATTGCTGTAGTTGCTGGGACACATCTACAGTAAGTCAGATAGATATGAAACACCTCCTGTGTGGGCAAGTCAATCTGAAAGTCAGTCACTGGTAGAATATGACTCATGTCACAAATCAGCATTAGAGGCAGAGAACACAGATGGAATACTCTGACTGTTACAAGAATAGGTGACTTTGCACATTTTATGAAAGTTACTCTTCTTCAGTGACATTACCAGTGCAAAGCAAAATAAAACGAGATTTGATAGTTCCCGTTGCAACGTTTTCATCAAACATATTCTCATCATAAGAACACAGATTACTGGAACGGTTGTTTCCTATCAGCCAGGTGCAGAAGGTATGGACACATCTATAAGATACTGTAAGTTTTAACAAAGAATACTCTGCAACAAGAGACAATATGAACATCTTTCAACTGAGACTGGCTTGACAAGTCAGGGCCTTTCTCCCTCTTGGTTTGTTTGCCTGGTGCCTACTTGTTGTTAACTGTGTGCATTGCTTTCACTCTAGTAAAGACTATTTTACCACACCTGTGCCAGGTTCAATCTGTACAGGATATGACACCTGTCCTTAGAAACCTTGATCCATGAATTAATTAAGAAATGTGTTTACAGAAACTGGAACCTCATGTCAGTTATTCAGAAGTTTGCATCTACCCACAGAGACAAAAGAGAAGGCAGATTGTCAGCATTATGGTGGCTTCCTTTTTAAAAATATTGCACAATGCTTTATCTGACAAACTACAATTTCAAACTGCCAAAACTCTTCTCTAGAAACCATCTCAAACATACTTGGCAAGGCCAACTGAAACTTGAGTCACTTCTCTTTTTGTCATTTCATATGATGGGAAAGTCATAGCCAAGTCTTTTTTTGTCAATCTCTTTGAGTTTTTACTCGTTTGATATTTTCATCACTTATGAGCCACATGTTAAATATTAAGAATGTCTGGAATCACTATTTACAATATTGTGCACTTCAATTAGTATCTGTCATTTCACTTGCATACCTCCCCCCCCATGGCAATTAATAATATCAGGGAAAAGTGGTGGTTAATTTAATGGGTGTCTAAAGGTGTTTTTTTGTTGTTGTTTTCTTAGATACAGAGTATCTTTCACGTTGGTTCATGTGTCGTATAGCTCACTTAAAGAACTCATATACTGTTTTGGAGCATAGTACTCGCACTTCCTGTTTTCCACCATGCAAAGACAAAGACACATCCACTTAAGAATCGTAGTAATGTGTATTTACTGTATGTTGCTGGATGAGGGGAGTGCATCACAGTGAAACTGCTGAGTCTGCAAACACTGGGTTCAGCAAAACTTCCCTCCTATTCATGTGAAGTAAAAAAAAATACTGATAAATATGTCTGACACATAAAGCTGATTCATTAAAAATAACTCAAAAAAAGGTGTGACAATATGATGGGACAGGATGCGTCTGTACTACTTAAATTCACTTCTTTCCACAATCATTCACACGTCTCATATTCTCTGCAACAACACATGGATAAAGTCTTTGGCTTTACGAAATTTTAGAAAAATGCTAACTATCAAGATAACTTGTACAACCTTGGTGCTACTCATCCAAACATTACAATGTTTGGCTTCAGATGGTACAGTATTCCAACTTTTAGTTTTAAGCTTTTTATGTACAGTATACCATGCATATTGAATGGTATACTGCAAACTGTGTCCTTTACTATGTGTCAGTGTGTTACCTGCGTTATCCTGTTTTTTAGATTTGTTACAATTCAATATTAATTACAATATTGGTACTGTAATTATAATAACTTAGTTTTCTTATTAATTTTCTATTTATTCTGTGAATAATGTCAGTATTATTGTCCATATAATATAAAAATCAAATAAGACACAGTTGAAACAACTCCAATGACAGACTGTTGTTAAGAGCATTATCTGATTTCTTCTGCATTCTCTTAGAAACAGAACTGTGTGTTGATAATTTGAACAAACTTTCTCTGCAGATTCGTCATTTCAACTAACAAACAGGGCCACTGGTTTTTGTTTGGTTAAATCGCATCATTTTTGCCATGAAATTCGCTGGACAACTGGTGACCGACTTATGGTTCAGTGGCTGAGTAAGTGCCTTGGAGTCCAGGGGAAAAGTGTGGGGAGTGAAATAAGCCTCTACGAGTGTGATGAAAACAGTGAACTCCAGAAGTGGGAATGCAAGAATGAAACAGTGCTCGCTCTCAAAGGCCAAGAGCTTTACATTGAGCTCACTGCAGATAACACAGCAGTTCTCTCTAAAACAATAGGACCCAATAACCACCTGACAATTTCAGGGACGTCCAGTGGTGCCTGCACAAGAACATACAGAGGTACAGTAAACAAACTCATAATAACTTTTATGGAACTTAAAGTATAAAACTGGAACGATGAAGATGACAGATTTAGAGACTTCAAAAGGTGGGGGGTTAAATATTAAATTTTTTTTTTTTTTTTTTTTACACATAATTACAGTATATGCTAGCTTCAGCCAGCAGGAAGCAAACTGGTACTCATGCATTGGAATTTACAATACATGTTCCAAATATTCACAACAATAAAAGGTATTTATTAGAAGGATTTCGTTCCACAGTTTCACACTTACTTACTATCATAAGTTGTCAGGTGAGGTATCACATATTCTTGTTGTTAATTACTTTAAGTACACCTATTCTGAAACTAATTAAACTATTCTTTCATATGTTCTTTTGTCCTTGTTTGGGTCTTTCAGAACTTTTTACCATAGGAGGAAATGCAAATGGTAGGACCTGCATGTTTCCCTTCATGTACAAAACCAAATGGTACTCCGACTGCACTACGGTTGACGTGGCGGAAAAGCACCTATGGTGTTCAGTTGAAACAAAATTTGAACATAATATCTGGGGCTTCTGCCCAACTAACTGTGAGTACTGCCTGTGAGAAATAAAGGTTTCATTTTATTGCAGTGAGAGGGGGGCACATAAAGACAATGCACATTCTTTTAAATGTACACTGGGGTGAAAGCTTTCAGGATAATAATGCCCCTAAAAAGCAGGGCATCATTTGATTTTGCACTGATCTCGACTTTACATCAGCCTCTCACATTTAAAGAAAACATGGAGGCATAAATGTGCAACTTGAGGGAACATAAAAAAAATTACATTCCTTAATGCATTTCCATGGTTTTGTATGTGTATTTCACAGCCAAACAACACTGGAACCAAAACATTGCAACAGGAGTGTATTACCAGCTCAACACCCAGTCAGCTCTGACTTGGTCCCAGGCTGTGGCCAGCTGCAAACAGCAGGGTGCCTCCCTGCTCAGTATCACCGATCCCCATGAAAAGGTTTATGTCACAGGTAAGGTGACACTGACTCTATATTCAATGTATTGATAAAGGATACATGTGTTTAGGCTGAGAAGTGTTTGAAGAATACCTACCAGTAACATTCATTCATCATTTCTTCCACATAATAAGTGATCCAGTCTGCAAGATCTGAAGCCTACTTTAATCAACATCTACTTCATAATTATTAGTTTACTGTGTCATTTTTCATTAAAAATATGCTTGATTAACACGATTAAATGAAGGCATGGGTACTAAGTAAGAAAGCTATTATTTTATCATTTTTAATTTTCCATGCTTTTTTAAAATACACGCCCACAGCACTACTAGGAGCAGGGGGCAGGGGAAAAGGGGACAAGCTTTGGACTGGACTGACACTGGATCCAGAACATGGCTGGCAGTGGTCTAACGGGAAGCCTTACCGTTATGTGAATTGGGACTCAGGTAGGTTTTCTTTCCACTTAATTACTTTTTGTTGCTACATTGATGACGCTAAGATAACCTGCATCTTTGATCAATTCCATCTGTCTTGTATTCTTTCTGCCATATACACACCATGTTGCCAGCCAGATGAGGAATTGATATTGTAGTGAATGAAAAGATGACTCACAGTCTCAAGAAGTTTGGCAGGAGGGGAATTTCCCAACAAGACAATGATCCACAACCCACTGCAAAAACACTGTGTGTGCTGTTTCAGGAGAAAAAAGTGAAAAGTATAACCTCACCGAGTTTGTCCCCTGACTTGAATCTTACTTGAACCTGACTATCAGCAAAAGCCCTTCAGCAAAGAGCAGCGGGAAAGAGTCATCTGTGAAAAATGGCAGAACATCTCTGAATAGAGTCCAGCAAGATTGGTATAATCCATGCCCAGGAGGATCAAGTCTGTCATGAAAAATAAAGGCCCACATACAAAATATTAACAAAATAAAAGAGAGGAATCTCACTAATGAAGGACGGGTGTACAGATTTATATGGACCTTTCAGTGTAGTCTTCTCACTTCTGTTTCAAATTAATTGGCTTCATTCTTCTTGGGATTTGGCTAAAAACAAATTGTATCTAATGGACAAGATTTGTAATTACTTAACCTTTTAGTGATTGTGACCAGGATTTTTTGTCTGATTCTTTTGGTTCTACTTTTCCTATTTCTACTTCTTTTTATTGTTGTTTTGACGGTTGACATGCGTTGATATACATCAGTAACTTTGCTATTTATATTGCAATTCTTTTTTAGGCCTGCAAGTGCTGAATTTACACAGTAGTGATGTAATTTGATTGCATTAGAATTTGTTTAAATGTTAGAAGTAAAATGAATGTAAAGTTGAAATAGTGGAGTCTAGGCTATCGTGTCAAGTTTAACCATTATCTTATTTTAGGACATCCACTTCCTAATCCAGGACAAAACTGTGCAATTATTGATGGTGCTGTACAGTACTCCTGGCAAAGTTCATCATGCACCAGAAAACTGGGCTACATCTGCAACAGTGATGGAACTTTGGCTCCTCCCACTGAAGGTAAAGAAAAGACCTGTTCTAATCTAGTAGAGCTGTACTCCCTGTACTGTAGTTAGTGTGTTAATATTTTGTCTTCAGTTAATTTCATATATCTGTCACTCAGCCCTTATATGAATTTCTTCTTTCTTTCTTTCTCCTGACCAGCTGTTGAGACAGGCTTTTGTTCAAGCCCTTGGATTCCCTACAATGGTCACTGCTTCCACCTTAATCGCACTCAGAAAACATGGTCTGAAGCTCAGAAAGCATGCCGCAAGGAAGGAGGGGACTTAGTCAGCATCTGCAATGTGGAGGACCAAAGCTTTGTTATCTCTCAACTTGGATATGGTACGTGGAGACAATAAAATATAGTGTAGCGTGAAAGAAGCCTTTATAATAAACAATACACCTTTGAGCCTGAAGGGCTTTCCTGTGGTGCCATCCTGTGGCAAAACAAAACATAACCTGCCCCTCTATTTGTTATTTACACATCTGCTAGTGACTAATTTAGAGGTCTTTTGAACATACAATCTGATCAGTCATGAACTGCTATTTGATATCTGTTGGGCTGACAAAGATCCTTATGGATCTCGTCTTGGTATCAATTAAGTTACTTTATGATGATCTAAATATCTGCCAACATACATGACCTTTGCTGTGTGTATAGCGCCTCTGCTCTAATTTCCTTCTTATGTAGAGCCTTATAACCAGTTAGAGTTACAACAGTACTTGTAAATGTTGCACACAGACCTATGGCCAAACAACGATAGTCTACAGCTGACACACAGTCGGTGCTAATGAACAAGCGCTCCACAAGAAATTGTAGGACAGATGGTTGAATTTTTTTTTTTCTGTCCCTGTCTGCAGCATCCACTGATGAGCTTTGGATTGGACTGAATGACAGGAAGACAGAGGGGCTGTTTGACTGGACTGACCATTCTACTGTCACCTTTACCAGCTGGGAGTTTGGGAAACCTTCTGTGTTCACAGACCAAGAAGACTGTGCTCTCATCAGGGGAGAGGTAAGGTGCATCATGTGGGTATAACGCACGATAGCTTCTTGTAAAAGTATCATTATTTGTCCAGTAATAAAATCGGCTTCGGTCAACAAAATGGGAAAATGTGTAACTATGAATCACACCTTGGTTCTTACTATGTGGCAACAATCTGGGCCAGGCCCTTTCCTGTTTCAAAACGATAACGCCCTGTGTACAAAGCAAGATCAAAAAGTGGCAACTGGCATCAACTGAATTAGAGTGCCAAACATGAGTCAAGTCTTAGCTACTAACATCAGTGGTCGACCTCGCTAATGGTATTGTGGCTGAATGGGAACAAATCCCTGCAGCCAGGTTGCAAGATCTTGTAGAGAGCCTTCCAAGAAGAGTGACAGCTGGCATACTAGTATTGTAGTACCCATGGTTTTGAAATGAGATACTCAACGATCACAAACATGTAACACCTGGATCCACATATTTCTGGCCATACAATCTACTGTACATGCTTATATCTATGATAATAAATTTGAACAGATTGCAGACTAGGGGGGTTTTGTCTGATGACAAACTGTACATTGCGGTTTGCCTGAGTGTCAGTACATGCGGTTTCCACACAGATTAATATTTTACGGCATTTCTTCTTGCAGAATGGGAACTGGGCCGACCGTGTGTGTGGGGAGAAACATGGCTTCATTTGTATGAAGACAAGTGCTACCGAACCTTCTGGAGATGAAGTGGAGCAGAATGCAGGTTGCAAAATTGTGTGTGAACTTTACTTCTTCTTATTTATTAAAATATGTCTGTCTCTGGTTTAAAGTGGTTGATAAGATTCTCATTCTTAGTTCTTTTATATTGCATCTTAGGCAACTTATGATATTTGGTATCTTTCCCAAACATACCTACTACTTGGCATGCTGTTTAAAAAGGGACACAATTTCAGCAAATTATAAATTCAGAGGCCAGGTTGAGAGAAATATGCAGTGAAGAATATTATATAATATATTGATATTTATATATTATATATTATATATTTATATATATATGACAAACAGGGAAGCTCTTTCTGATCTGCCTAAAGAGGTTTTGTTACAAAAAATTACAAGCTGGACAGTGAAAGCCAGCTATCTCAGCATGTTAAGAAATACCGAATCAACAATATCAATAAGCAGCCCTGTCTAATCCCTGAAGATACAGTATGTTATGCAGTTTTACTTTTTGCTACCCCCTATAATGATGAAACATACTAAAAATATGACAAAAAACTAATGAAGTTTTCCCACAATTGTTTTCCGACAATCCAGGGTTGGAAAAGACATGGCTCCTACTGCTACTTTGTAGGAACAGAGACAAAGACGTTTGATGAAGCAAAAGACGGCTGCAAGAGCTCAGACTCCTACTTGGCAGATGTTTCAACTGGGTAAAAGCATTCGTATTGACTCCAAACATTCTAAACACACTAAACATGAGCATGCTAGATTTTGGAGGTTCAGATACAACTCAAATTAAAAAAATAAATGCACTTTTAGGACTGTACATTATTCACCGATATGAGAAATGTGTCATTTTATTTGTCTAAATATTTCCAGGGTGGACAATGCATTCCTAGTCAGCCTGGTAGGCTTGAGACCAGAGAAGTACTTCTGGCTAGGACTCTCAAACCAGAAAAACATTGATCAATTTGTGTGGACCAACACAGACTCAGTGAGGTTTACTCACTGGAACGCTGAAATGCCAGGTACAGAAAAAGAATTGAACTTCCCTTTATAAGATATGTTTAAATGTGGCTTCACCATCGACAATTGACGTTTTCTCCCTTGACAACATAAGGTTACCAACAAGGCTGTGTTGCCATGACAACTGGGTTTTTTGCTGGCCTCTGGGATGTGCTGCCCTGCGACAATAAGGAGAAATACATTTGCAAACACCTGGCAGAGGGGGCAGTTTTAACTCTTGCCCCACCAACTGTCCCCACAACAAAATGTGCAGATGGCTGGAATCAAGTGGCATCAAGAAAGTACTGCTATAAGGTAAGATCCAGCAGCTTAACACAAGTGAAACACGTACACCTGCTACACATTAAAAAAAAAAAACCCACCCATAACAAGTCTTGCATACCACCTTGGGAGAGACAAACCTCATAGTTTGTAAATCTCTGGTTTGCCAAATATTCACCAATTCCAGCTTCCCAAATGTAAATTTTTCATGGTTTTCTTGCGTCTTTCATGCTAGTAAACGGAATATCTCTTGTATTTGAACAGCTGGTCAGACAAAAATAAGATGTCTAAGATTGTCAACATTGGCTTTAGGAAATTGTGACGGGCATTTTTCACGCTTAATTGAAGGATCGAAGAAATAATCTTCAAATTAATTGATGATAAAAATAGTTGCTACTTACATCGATAAAAATTAAGAAGAAAATGGATCACACAACCTAACAAACAACAAACACAACCAGAAATGCAACTATGCAACTAACCAAAATCTAAAAAATATCCTCTATTCTATAGTACATAGTTGTGTCTTTGCAGGCATTCCTTTAAATAATGCATGGAGGTTAAAGAGACAGTACCAAACCTTTAATCACAGTCAGATTTCTTGCCTTGTGTTTAAGTTTTTTGCGGAGACACCTTTAAACAAGAGGACCTGGTATGAGGCCAGAGATTACTGCATGGCCATTGGAGGAGACCTGCTCAGTATTCATAGCACTGATGATCTTAAAATGCCAATAAAGAGGTACAGTATAACCTGGTCTCATTTATTTAGAGCAGCATCAGACAAGAATTTCTGTAAAAAATACACCCTTCTTTCCAGTAAAAATCACACATTAGCTGCATCAAAGCAGAGCATTCTCATTCTTTCTAGATGCTGTAGATTCATCCAGGTTGTCACAATAAATATTAGGTCATAAGTATGCTCATGTTAGTGTTTAGTGAATGGGAAATTACAAATTAAGGGATGCAGCAAAATGTAAAGGTTGGTTGGTGTCCAAGAGAGCGCTGCGACAGTGCTTCAACAGATAACTACGAAATGTATTTCTAACACAGACTTCATATTTAAATCATTAATACGAGTTTGCCCATTATAGCTATAGGACATTCTGGATTGGACTCAGTGCCCCTGACCCAATCACTGGTTACGTATGGAGCGATGGATCCCCAGTGAGTTGAACAGTTTTCTCTTTCTTCAGTGGTTGAGTTTATGTGACTCAATTACATTGTCATTTCATGATTGATTATTATTTTATTTTGTTTACAGGTAAATTTCCAACACTGGGAGGATGGAGAGCCAAACAATAAAAATAATGTGGAATCTTGTGCTGAATTCAATCCGTACAATCAGCAGCGGACTGGGTCTTGGAACGATGTGCAGTGTGAGAAGTACAATGGATGGATTTGTCAGATCCATGCAGGTAAAGAGTGATCATTTGGTTAATACATTTTAAAGAAAAATATGTTATTATGTTGTAACATTTGTTGTTGAGTAAGTTGAGTGACCGTAAATTGGGTGTTTTCAGCAATGTCTTCTTCATGTATTCAGATGTACACAATTTCAATGACGAGGTACCAACTAACTCCTCAATACTTTTTATCTCCTTTCTATGTCCTTACAGGAAAGACTCCAAACCCGCCACCAGACCCCATCACTCCTGGTATGTGGGCTACTATGTACAAGTATGAGACCACTGAGAAATACAGCATTTTTATATGACTTTTGAAGTAAAGAATTCTCCTACATCATCCAGATACAATCTGAGCAATAAATGCCCTGTGCTCTTTTTGGCCCACCCAAAAGAAAATGTATATATTGTGATTGTTGGTTTCATTACAGCACCCTGTGTCCCTCTGCCTATGATAAAATATTGACATATTACTGCTCTATGCAAGATTTGCTCAGGTGTATTGGAATACAGTTCCTAAAAAAAAAAAATAAAGTATAATTCCTTCTTTATGCTTTCTGATTTTTTTCTCAAAGGGAAACATAGGATAAGTGATTTACAGAGCAGATATGTGTGCTATAGAAGACGAAAATGCAATTTAGTTTCAAGTGGAATTCAAGTATGATGACTTGTGACATTCCCTTGCTGCAGCTGTTACATCTTTGTGGGGTGGGCCTTATTTGATTTTTGGCAGTGCACATTTGCTGCATGTCTTTAAATTAAAGCAGCTATCAGACACCAAGCTGAGAGCAACTGAAAATAAATCTGACATTACATATATATACTGAAGATCTATTACATGTTTCTAACATTTTAAAGACAACAACAAGACCTCAGATGGGTGGTTGGAATGGAATGGGATTCAGTATTATATTAATGAAAAGTGGATGGCCATGGAAGATGCTCGCAACTTCTGCCAACAGAGGCATGGGGACTTGGTGACTATCAACAGTGAGGCTGAAAATGTCTTTTTATGGAAACAGGTGAGCAGGGACATAAATACCACATTATTTACATGGCATTTAAATACGGAAATAACTGAAATGTATGGGTGGTTTTACCATATTCTTCTGTCTCTGTGTGCAGATATCCAGGAGTTACGGGTCTTACTGGATTGGCCTGACTGTAGAACTTGATGGAACCTATGAGTGAGTATGAATTAAATACAAATAAAAAAAGTCAGAAAGAAAAAATTAGATATTTCCCAGCAATTAAGGGTAGTGAGCATCTGCATTCATATAGGGATATTAGAATTAAGTGATAGCTCATAAGCCTCTATACAGCTTTATATCTAGTAAGTTTATCTAAGTATCAAATTCATAGGACATTTCTGTGAATTCTTTGATGAATTTTAAAATATGTACTGGTGCAAGGTTGGCCTGATAGAGATCCAAACTGTTGCATTCTTGTGTTCATTGGAAATATTGTAGTAATCTAATGTCTTTGACAGAAACATACAGTATACGGTTATTGCTGTTACAGTATTAATATTTTAGGACTTACTTATACACAAATAGTTGGTGGTAGTACAGTGGTGTTACAGAGTGGAGCTCTTTCTGACACACACTATCTTTAACAAGTGCTAATGACAGCATGTAGGGAGAACACAGGGTGACAACAGTCCAGTTTAATTTAGGCCTAACATCAAGTTACTAACAGACTTTAAATGAATTAGTTACAGCCAATAAGACGTACCAGCAGCTAAGATGAGTAGCTGCAACCAAATGTTTTCTATACTGCTTTGCTAATGATTATTAGCGTTGGAGCTTAGTGAATCTGTGTATCTTTTGAACTTCACTGTCACAGCTCCAATGACTATTGCACTGTCACTTGCCAATTTTCAATGGCTTATGCAGTGGGACAATATGAAAAGCCAATTGAACCAAGCTGGTCATCTGGCCCACTTAGAGCTCAGCCAGCGGTCCACAGCAGGACAGTGCCTCTGCAAAGTCAGTGGGCTGCCGCTGTAAAATTTACAGTATATAGTGGAAACACTGCAGCCTTTAGGCTTGAGGCAGTATGTCACTTTGCTAATTATATTTTCAGAGTGAGTTCTTTTGGTTAAAAAATTTCAATTTCGCTTGTTACATTAAGGTGGATAGATGGTTCTCAAGGGGAATTTGAAAGGTGGGATGAAGGTCAGCCTGATTTCAATACTTTTGATGAGAACTGTGCTGTCATGGTGCATGAGACTGGTGAGTAAACTACAATATGATTTACCTTCACTGACATACATGCAAATGATAAATTTAACATAGCACTAAACCTGTAATCCTTAATATTTCAGTACTGGTTGATTTCTCGACACTCACGCTCATTAAGCCACTCCTTTGTCAAAAATACAAGAAAGATAAAATTACATGCATATATTTTTTCCTGTGAATCCACCCATGCTTAGGTAGGCATCTGAATCTAGCCATTTAAAAAAAAAAACAACAACAACAACTAAACAGCAGAGAAGAACACTGAATTTAAGAGGCATTAGAGGAAAAATGCTGACCATAGACAGAATCAAAAATGGGGTTTGATTCTGTGAAAATCTTACTGTTGATTATCATGTGTGTTGATTTTAATATCTTGGATTTTTTCACAGGATTCTGGCATGATTATAATTGTGGGTTCGAGCACAAGTCCATTTGTAAACGTAGTGGCTCACCACCTGCCAACACCACTGTAGCACCCACAGTGCCCCCCAAAGGTGGCTGCCTACTCCCCTGGAAAAAAATTAACTCCAAGGTCAGAGGTCATTTTCAACCTTTATAAATAAGTTGTGTTAAAGTATGAGAATAAAACTGATTCAAAGACAGAATGGAAATCTCAAAGCTTGCAATGACATGGGCTTTTGATTTGACAACACTTTTAATGTTGATCTTTTAAAGGTACAATGGTATTTGGAGATGTCACATTAAGCTGTTTTGTTATGTGAAATTTGGACACATGTACTGTACTTACAAGTACAATGTTTGTGTGGATGTATTTGGTATATTTCAGGAATTGTAAATTAACTAATTTCTTTTCATTAGTGTTACATCATCATTAAGAACCAGAAATTAACATGGGATGGAGCGAGGAAACAATGTCTAACAATGAATGGAAACTTGGCCTCTATTCCCTCAAGAGATGTACAAGGTTTGTTTCACTTTTTTTCTCCAATAAAATATAGACCAATCTTTGTAACTTCTCCTGTTTAGGGAGCATTGTCAGGTCCACTTTACACTGGTAAGAAAAAGTATGTGAACCCTTTAGAATGAACTATTTTTCTTCGTTAATGGGTGCTGCCATGCCACGGACACTGTATTCCATGGAACCATGCACTATGTTTTATGCATGGTAGACTCATGAACAGAGATATTAAACAGCTCAAATGACTCCTTTAAACCTTCAGCTTTTACTCTGACCTTATTTTTTAGGCCATTGAGCATCTGAATTGTGTCTTTGAAATCATCTTAGCTTATCTTACTTCTTTTGTAAGTGAGACAACTGATTTAAATGTTTCTTTTGTTATCCAGTTTATAATAGACAAACTTGTTAAAAACAGGTGAACCTCCAAGACTCACTGTGACAGCACAGTGTATTGTGTTTCAGGTAAAATTGGAGGGAAATAAACTTCCATGCAAATAAATCATTGTTTAAATTTTCAGCATTTTTGGTGACTCAAATGGCTGACACACCTACTACAGACCTGTGGATTGGTTTTCATAGTTTCCATGGTCATCAATTTTACTGGGCTGATGGGCGACCAAAGTCATATGTCAACTTGGCTTTAAATGTAAGTGGATACAATCTGAATTAGGTTTTACAATGTGAAGCAAGTGGATTGTGCGTGTGTGTCTGTGTGTAAAAATGTGACACTTTTTTTCTCCACTGCCTGTTTTCTCAATTTTAGAGATTGGTCTATGATGACATATTTCATCGACCCCACAGGATTTTGGTAACGTTTAAATTTAACTATTCTTAAGGCATAACTGTATACAACAGTGTAATATGCATCATGTAGACAGAATCTATGTAAATTTACTATTGTGAATTGGGTTTACATTGCAGGATCTCAATCATCTCGGAGATTTTGACACACATTTTTATCATGTGAGTGCAAAGCCACATATTTTTACATGACTTTTTTTTCATGAAAATTACCGTACACTTTTTGAATTTGTGTTTGTAATCTTTGGGTTTACATTGCAGGAAATCCATCATTTTCAAAGATTTGAAACTCTCTTTTCTCAACAAAGAGTAAGAAGTTTGCCGCTTATTTTTTCATGACTTGGAGAGAAATTACATTTCACCTCTGTTATCAGACAACCACATTTTTTATTACACTGTAATTGTAACACTGTAAGTCAAAATCTTAAAAACTAAAAAAAAATAAATTGTGACTGAGGCCCCTCAGTGTTCCAATGCAATGAGGAGGATAAAGCAAATACTGAACACTGAACATCACTACTGTATTTCTTCAGATTGTTTTCTGTAATCAGATTACATTTGCAGACCGTCAGTACCAGATTGATAATGGTCTATTCATGAATGAAACATCCATAATGGTAGAGTTTCTATAAAGGGGCTTGCAACCATTTTCAACCATTTCTTGATTTTACATGGGAAAAATACATGGCTAGGCCTTCAATAAACTATTACATACTAGCAGTAATAAATGTATTATGATGCTGTCGTAATTACATCGGATCCTAACACGGTATTCTGTTTTCCCCACTGTTTTCGCTGTGCCTCCCCAGAACAAATGTGCTGTGATCAATACCAATCCTCTCCTTGGTATTGGTAAATGGATACCTCAGTCCTGCAATGACACCAATGGATTTGTCTGTCTTCAAAAGGCTGGTGAGCCCAGCCATGATGTAATAGATGTGCTACTGTGTCTGCCACCAACCAACTACACTTAGGGCCAAATCAGTGCCTCTCACTTGCTCCCTCTCTTCCTCTCCAGAAAAGGAAAAATCACCTATAATTTATCTAAGATGATGAATAAATATGAATAACAATCAACAAGTACTTTACAAAGTCAGTGTGACATTTTCAGAATTTAAATTTAGACTTTATTCTACCTGTAAGAGCACAATTGCACAACAGCAGTTGATAATTTGCAGAGTGACTCTTCAGTATTGTATTCAATATTGCCCAGCGATTAGGTGAGTGAGCAACTGCATTCATATAGGGATGTTAGAATTGAATGATAACTAGCTAGCTAGATAACATCTATACAGCAGCTACAACAGCTCTAAGTGTAAAAACTACATTTGTTTCCATTCTCCCCCTAAACAGACCCATCTCTCCCAGACTCCCCTGAACCAACAGTTACTACCGACTATGCCAAAATAATGAATGACTCCATCAAGGCTGTGACTCAACCAATGACCTGGGATGAAGCCAAAAAGCACTGTGAAGATGATGATGCCAACCTGGCTAGCCTGCGAAATGAGTGGTCACAGGTCTATGTTGAGTGGCTGGCTCTGAGTCTGAACACTTCTCTGTGGATTGGAATGAACAAAATGCAGGTAAAATCTCTATCACAGCTAATGAGTGTTTATAACTACTGACCACTGCAAAAATTCATAACAAAAGGATTATTACTGATTTAGGGAATAAATGGCATTTTGAGATCATGAAAATGCATTTGTCCATGACAAGTAATTAAACCTCCTCATGAACATTAGTGGTGTGATCCATGGGTACCAACTATTACGGTGGGGAAAAACATCTCAAAACTTTTCAACAGTGTTGGAGAGAAGCTGATTGCAGTTCTTGGATACACAGAGTTTGATCATTTCCCAATGTGCTCAGGGAAAGCACGTCATCAATTTATCAAACAACCAAAGCAGGCCCCGCTAGTTGCCTAACACAACTTGAAAATGTGTGTTGCCTGTTTTTGTGCGCCCGTTCACCAGAGCAGAGTCTGCAAATCACTTGCCTGCAATCCTGCACATGACGTGGCTGCTGTCACAAATAATGTCATCAGGATGCTAGAGGCAAGCTTTCAGTAACACACGGCGTTTTTTGAGTGAGTGTATTCCCGTAATGAGCAGCACCTCCTTGTGGTACAGTTAAAAAGTTACTGTCAAAAGGACTGTTCCATGCCTTCATGTAAGAAACGCTTAACACACACACACACACACACACACACACACACACACACACACACACACACACACACACACAAAAAACTTCAAGTATCCAGTTCTATCCGTCCTTACATTTTGCCAGTATATGGATAAATCTGTTGCTCGAGTTTGAGAATTTTACTATCCTTAGCCACGCAGATTAAGCATACATTTGAACATTGTTAGAAATGTGTAGGGGTTTTGTTTTGTTGTTAGAGAATAGACTTTTAAAGCACACACACATGAATGACACTGCACTGATCTGGTAAAATGTCCTATTTTTTCGCATATCATATTTTTCACACTATATAACACTTATAACACTTGTGAAGGAGCGGGAACGTCAGCAATCTTTTTTTTTTTTTTTTTTAAGCCTTTATTAGATAGCAGAATTGGAGACAGGCAGGAAATATAGGGAGAGAGCAGGGGAAAGACACGCAGCAAATAGTCCAACTGGCCGGGAGTCAAACTGGCAACTCGCTGCTCGGGGCATTTGAGCTCATGTGGTATGCACCCTCACCATTTGGCTATCAGGTTGCCCCATCAGCACAAAGTTTGATGACAATCCATTGACAATGTTGAAACATTTCAGAAAAACCCGAAAAACAGCCTCATGGTTGCACTAGAGGAAATCTATACAAAACAACATGGCAATCTGACCAATGCTTAATATGATATTTCAGACTGACACTTCCATCCATTCAGCCATGCAGTATTGCCTTAAAAAGCACTAAGATTTTCTTGAAAAAATAAAGAACAATTAAGCTAAATGCACTCTGATCAATCTTTGCTTTCAGACCAGTGGTTATTTCAGATATATTGATGGCTGGCGCATGAAATTTACTTCCTGGGGTCACAATGAACCAAGCCCGGACCGACCATGTGTCTTTGTAGACATAGATGGAAAATGGAAGACTGCTAACTGCAATCAGACCATGAACAGTGTTTGTATGAAGTCAACAGGTATGACCAATAACAGTCTAATGTTAAATTTAAATAAATTAATTCGTAACTCATCCTTAAAGCCAACATGTTTCAACTTAGAATTTATTTCCCTGTAAACATTAGGATACCTCCTGTGGTTTTAAAGACACTTAACATTTTAATCATTGCTCAGAAATGTACATTACATGAATTTTACCCTTTTACCTTTTATGTTTTTCTATGTGACCAAATTATCTTTCAAAGTAGTGTGAAAAAAAATTGTAAATGTCTATTTCAATGGACAGGATTTTAATCAATTACTCCCTCTCTCATTCACAGATGTGCCACCAACAGAGTCAAGTCTTTTTCCAGGAGTTTGCCCTGACGACCCAGATTCATTAAAAATTGGCGAGAATTATTTCTGGCTACCATTTAAGGGTTACTGTTACATATTTTTCACAGACGAAAAAGAGTGGGCATCTGCAGCTGCTAGCTGTGCAAGACATGGTAAGAATTTTCTTGTGAAAGATATTTTTAGTAATAAAATGCCTGTAGCTTTCACTAAGGACTACTGTTTTGTTTTGTGAAGGTGGATCACTAGCCAGCATTGAAGACCCGTCTGAGCAAGAATTCATTCAAAATAACACAAAGACATATAAAGACAGCCACACCTCTTTCTGGATCGGCTTGTATAAAACTCACAAAGGTACCTTCACATTGACTGCTCTAATATGAAAAGAAATATTCAGCTACAGGTAAAAGACTATACAAAAAGAAAAACTACGCTTGGTGGAAAACTAATGAGGAAAAATATACACATTTAAGGTTATTTTGGGGAAAAATGCTATGGTTTTAAATTATGTTTTTCAATCTTCAATTTCTTTTAATAGTTCACAAAGTATGGGAACTTCTTTTAGGTTACAGCACAAACATATGAGGAGAATTCTTTGCATTAAAAAAATAATAGAAAAAAAAAAAAAAAAATTTAGTTTGGTATTAAAAGAAACTGCACAAGAAAAAACAATCTATGTGTCTCCAGGGGACTGGTTGTGGTTGGACAACACAGTCAAGGACTACACTAACTGGGATGAAGGTCAACCTACTTCTCAAAACCATGGAGCGATTAGTACTTCAGATGGGACATGGAGGGCAGGTGCACAGTGGTATGATAGACCATACATCTGCAAAACACCCAAAGGTAAAATAATTCTTATGTAGACTGAGCTCGAATTGTAATTATGTGTTTCTTTTTTTGAGCTGACTGTGCCACATTAGATAATCACAGACTTTTCTGTCTTACAATAAGCATATACTGTAAGTGATCGGTAAGGTGCCAGTGACAACTTCACTGTTCCATCTGGAACAGTTGCTCGTTACTTTGCAAATGAATGTAGAGTTAATTAAGGTTATAGGTTCACTGACATTAAATAAAACATCACAAGTCGTCCTTGCAGATGTGAACATAAAAGACTTATGCTCCTATTGGCTAACATCCCAGACCATTGTAGAAGTTGTCAAATTGGATGACATCATTGTCTAAACATAATGAGGTTTCCCAGATGCTGTGTTGCTTCCACAAAGACACATGGGAAAAACAAGCAATTGTCACACCCAATGCTCCCATCTTTTGCTCCCATCTGTGTAGCTGGAAGCTGAATATTGTGTAATATTAATGTACTATTGTGAACATTTTCCTTCTTTCTCTATAGTATTTCTACCAGTGCCATCACCAGCAGCCAGTAAGTAGCACATTTTATCTTTATTTAACTCAAAATTGTGACAAGTTCTTTTGGCTGATCATCACGTACCTTTTCAAACTGTACAGGAGTTGGGATTAATCCTAATCACAGAGGCCACATCATTTTGGCAGTTGTACTGGTCATTGCTGGGATTGCCGTGGGGGGAGTGATTGCCTTCTTCCTCTACAAGAAGTCTATTCCTCGCCTAACCATCCCTGGCACATTAAACACCTTTGACAACCCACTGTTCTTCAGCAATGAGCAGTCCCCACCTGAAACGGTTGACAGTGGTATGAAGGCAGAGGACGTGAACCATGAGCCTGTTATAACTGTATGATTTAATAAAAAAATGCATGACCGATGATGAAGAAAAGTTTCAACAGACTTGGCAATGAGCGGCTAAATTGGTTAAAGCAATATATTTTGTAGGATGTGTTATTTGGACTGAAATCATTTTTAATCACATATGTTGTAATTACTAAGAATGAAGTGGTTGAACTATTCGGAAGAATTCAATATACTTTTTTATTTTATTTTATTACAACTGTTAGGATAGTGCTGTGAATTTTTATCTTTGCTACATGTTGTATGAAAGGTTGCAATGTCTAGTTAACAATAAACACTTACAATTATTACTGCATTTCATCCTGCTTAAAGTTACATTATGCATAGCTTTGTCTAGCTGGAACTTTCTTTTTTCAGTGCTTTTAACAGTCATAGTCAGCGGGTCTGTTTGATTTGGGGGAGGAGACCTCTGTGGATAATTTGGCTCCCGGTAAAAACCTCTTGAACGACTGACCTGGGAGAAGCTTACGGTAATGGTGGTAAAAACAACAACTCCTATGATCCCACGTTATTTCATGACGTCACCCAAAGCCGTCTTTTGTTATTGTTTTGATTGAGAGACCCCATGTGGCAGAAGTTACATAGTGTGCATTTTATAGAAAAAAAAATCATGACAAATTAGTTTCTCTCCCTAAATTGCCACAAAAGTAGGCATTCAGACTGATACACACCATAGATGTTTACCATAGATGATTGTTAATATCACATTCAGACAAGACACATTATTCAGTTTTCACAAAATTGGCAATAGGAGTATTTGCAAAAGACCAAAAACTCTTAAGAGGAAACCTTCTGGCCAAAGTGTGCTGAACCACACAGAAAGGTTTAATAACAATGCACTAAGGATTACCAAACTCTCAATTTGCATCTCAAGTTGCCCATTTGATTTGTCTTCTAAGCATTTGTACTAATATCTCATTGATTTTTGGTCTTTTACTCACCATCAGCGTTTTTACAGCTCACTTCTCAAATTCACAGAAGCCACTTCCTCTTTGAATAATACATTATTTTGAAGAGGACACACATCAATTTGGTCCAATTGACTAATTCATAATGAACCCCACTGACAAACGCAGTACAGAAACCAAAGTTGTAAACATCAAACCACTACTTAAAACAAGCATGTTTTCTCTCCCTTTTGGTCACACACATGCACCTACTTCCCCATGTAGCATCAGTAAGCCAAGGGTTAAGGGTGTGGACCAATGAGAACAGATTTTCAGCGCTTCCTCTCTAAGCTGACACTGATTCAATAACCGTATTTGTGCATCTAGCTGTCATATTTTTTTCCAGGCCCATTTACAACCATCTGTTATCATGTTTTCAATTGATATCAATTGATCACTTGACAACTGAGCATAGTCCATCTGCTGATTCGGTAACAAGATGTTGAGTTGGGTTAACATTCTCACTAATATGGTAAACATTGTTAGGAACTTGCCTTGATGAGCTCGTAGTGCAGGTAGACAGGACAACATTCAACACATAAAAATTAATCCAAGATATTAATTAGAACATATTAACATTTACAAAGTACCATAAATATAAATATCTGATAAAATATAAAAATTCAAAAAAGATAACGTAAAACAAAAAATATACCTTAAAGTGCAAAAGTCATGTGGATGACCATTGCCTGCAGTTTTTGTGGTGTGTTCAGTAACATTGGCTCTAGTTGGTCTCTAGTGACTATCCACATGATCCATCAGCCCATCCATTATCTAAACCCACTTATTAAAGCTGACATTTGGCAAGGTAAACCCTGTATTCCACCACACTGCTGACACCTACACCCAATATAGAGTTGCCATGTAATCCACCCTGCATGTCTGCTGACTGTGGGAGTAATCCAGAGCACATAGAGGAAACCCATACAGGTGCAGGGAGACATTATGTGATACAAGATGATACGAGGCAAAGCATCCTATCCAAAGGTTTCGTGTCAGGGCCCTTAGTGCATGTTTAGTATGTTTAGTATGTTTGCCTAGTCCGACTGCCTTCTTGTTGACTGTAAGACTGCCTTTTCCTTGGAAAGGACTATACTGAGCTATGTCTGCTGGGAAGTATTCTACAGTGATAAAATTAAATGATCAAACAAGCCATTACATCAAAATACATGAAGCAGTAACTGATGTTCAAAAATGACTCGACCAAAGAAAAAAAGTTGAGAAAATTGGGGACATTCTGGCATCATTTCTTGAGAAGGTGCAGCATTCGCTTAAAGAAACAAGTCAGCATTATGAGAGCTTCCTTGTTGTGAATATTGCACAATACTTTCACCTTTACTTTCATCTTCAAAGAAGTTAAGATTAACAAGAATTTCAAATGGCCAATCATAAGCTTCCCTAGAATTGTTGTAATTAACCGCAAAGTATCACATCTACTTCTCTTCTGTCTTTACATGTGGTGAATTACAGCAGTCACGTAAACTGTGGATTCATAAACATGAAATAAAACGAGGAACACTACTGCACAGGGATGCCACAATCATGTTTTTGTGCTGCAGATATTTGATTGTCTTTGAGTGCGATCGGCCGATGCGATCATTTTTGGAATGCACTGCAGATGGCATATGCTATATCAGTCTCACACACTTTGTAAAAGTTTCACATGGCTGTTTTGTTTTGGTGGCCTGTTGCACACCGGTGCATTGAACAAGGTGGGAGGAGGGACTACTTTACATAGCACACAGTGCTTCTCTCAGCTGATCTCAGAATAAACTACAGATGATCGGTTTTTAAGGTGATCTGTGACTAGCATTAGTGCCGATCTACTGATCATATATTTTGAATCAATCAGGGCATTCCTACTACTGTAGATGATTATAGTGTGGAATAACTGGTGGTTACCTTATTTGGTGTTAATAAAGAATAGAAAGATAATCTACCATCATCAAACATCAGAAATCTTTCACTCTGGTTCATGTGTTTGGTGTCTGAGTAGGAAGTCTTGTAAAAAGTTACTTAATGGAGCATGATTGTGACACTTCCTGTTTTCCACAGTCTTTTTATTATGCAATGGCACACAGCCACATAGCTAGGAATGAAGTGTGTTTTAAAATGAAACAGCTAAGTGTGCAAATATCAGCATTTGGGTTCTTCAAAAAAATTTAATGATTTCCCCTTCCTTGTTCATCTTAAGTAAAAAGGTTTTTAAAAGAAAGTCTGACACAAGACAAATGAAAAGTCATGATGACAGGATGAGACATGATGTGTCAGTACTATTGAGATTGACTTTTGAGAACCACTCACACAGCTCTAAAATCCTTTGCAAGAAATGCAGGGATTAAGTGTTCTGCCATAAGACATTTCAGAGGAATTCTTACAATGAGGATAACTTGTACATCTTTTGTGCTCCTCATCCAAATGCTCCAATGTTTGGCTTCAGATGGTACAGTATTCCAACTTTTAATTTTCAGCTTTTTATGAGATTCAGCAAATGTTCACTCTACTCTGTATATGAGATTGTTCTTTAACATGTGTCAGTGAGTAACATATTTTGTGTTACCTGTGTTACCTAATGAATCCTTGTACATTTCAATATTGACATAAGGCTTTTTTACTTTGTGCACTTATAATTTGCAGACAACGTATTTAGACACAGCAAAACGAACTCCAAGGACAGACTCTGTTAACAGATGTCCTTTACAATGTCTCTCTTGTGTCTCTACAGATTCACCATTTCAACTAACTAACAAGGCCACTGGTTCTTGTTTGGTTCAAACAAATAACAAATGCAATGACATACGCTGGACGACTGGTGACCGACTTCTGATTCAACAGAGGAGTAAGTGCCTGGGAGTCCAGGGGAAAAGTGTGGGGAGTGAAATAAACCTCTACGATTGTGACGAAAACAGTGAACTCCAGAAGTGGGAATGCAAGAATGAAACAGTGCTCGCTCTCAAAGGCCAAGAGCTTTACATTGAGCTCACTGCAGATAACACAGCAGTTCTCTCTAAAACAATAGGACCCAATAACCACCTCGCAATTTCAGGGACGTCCAGCGGTGCCTGCACAAGAACATACAGAGGTACAGTACCGCATACAACAGTGTTGTTTTGACCGCCTTGTATTCGCCACACTAGGATAATAACCATTGTCATAGAATTTCATGTACAAGTCAAGAAAATAAAAAACTAAAACTAAAATGACATTTACATGTTAGCTTTATAAACTTGTTCATATCTATTCATGCATTCATATTTACTTGATATAGGCCGTAAGGTCATATTTGTTATATAAATCTTTATTTGGAATAGAGAAAAGATATCATCTTTTGAAGTATTTTATCATATGGTTTTTTTTCTTATTCGCTTTCAGAACTCTATGCAATCAGTGGAAATGCAGCGGGAAAGCTCTGCATGTTTCCCTTTATGTATCGAGACCAGTGGTACTCAGACTGCACTACAGCTTCCTCAAAAAACCATCCTTGGTGTGCAATTGAAACAAACTATGAGTCAAATAATCTCTGGGGCTACTGTCCAACTAACTGTGAGTAGTGCCGGTAAAAACTTAGGTGAAACACTTCAGGTGAAAGATGAAGGTTTGAGGAGCTGTAATTATTTTTAACTGATAATTATATGATTTAGGACTTGCCACTAGTTTAACAGTTAAGTAAATTTCCATCATTTAATCAAGGCCAAAATTCACAACTTTAGGTTACATGGAGAAAGTATCACACATTGTAGCAAATATTAACACCCATGTGTTGTACATTAATTTAACAGCCAAAGCAGACTGGCATGTAAACCCAGCAACAGGAGCAATTTACCAATTCAACACCCAGTCAGCTGTGACTTGGCCCCAGGCTGAGGCCAGCTGCAAACAGCAGGGTGCCTCCCTGCTTAGTATCAACAATCCTTACGAGCAGGATTATGTGACAGGTAAGGAGAAAATGACTCTATATTGGATGGGAAATCACATTAGGGAAGATACCATAATTGTATACCATCTGAATGTGTGAATGGATACTATTAATAAAACCAACTAGGAACACTGAACCTTAACAACAACAACAATGCCCCCAACAGTACTACTAGGGAGAGGGGGCAGTAAGCTTTGGACTGGGCTGATCCTGGATCTAGAACATGGTTGGAAATGGTCCAATGGGAGGCCTTACCGTTATATGAAATGGGACTCAGGTAGGTTTTTCCTCCACTTCAATACTTTGTGTTAATATTCGACAAACATATGTTTTTTCTATACATTAAGCAGAGCTAAAAATAGTTTTCTCCCATAGGCTCATATCTATACTAGAAAAATGTCTATATTTGTTACAGCAGTACCAAGTGCATTAATAGAAGGTAATGAAGTCCTTAAATTATATGCAGGCAGAAAGCTTAGGATAAAAACTGAAAAGAGGGGGAAATGGCAAGCCTGGCTCATCATGTTATATCCTGTTTGTTTATGCCATAAAACTGAGTGTAAAAACAACCATATGATGTTTTACAGGCAGTAATGTGCGGGAATTAAAGACTGCGACAAATCTGACAACTTATATAAGGCTGTTTTGCAAAACCAGCATATCAAGTATAACCATCACTTTGTTTTAGGACATCCACTTCCTTATCCGGGACACAATTGTGCAATTGTTGATCCTACTGTACAGTACTCCTGGCAGAGTTTACCTTGCACCAAGAAAGTAGGATACATATGCTATACCAAAGGGCCTGAGGAAAATCCTAAACAAGGTAAAGAAAAAATATTCTATCCTAGTCTAGAATAGAATTTATTAGCAATACTCAATCTGTGGCTACTAAACAAACCTACTTTTTTCAATGCATTAAACTGAGCTATATCATCGTTCAGTCAGTCCTCATATATTATTATCTGTCAGTCATTATATGTTCTTTTCATCATAAGCTGTTGAGACAGGATTTTGTTCAAGCCCTTGGATTCCCTACAATGGTCACTGCTTCCACCTTAATCGCACTCAGAAAACATGGTCTGAAGCTCAGACAGAGTGCGTTCATGAAGGAGGGGACCTAGTCAGCATCCGCAATGTGGAGGAGCAAAGCTTTGTCATCTCTCAACTTGGATATGGTACGTCAAGACAATAATATAAAAGAAACAAAAATTTACCTTCAAGGAAGAATTTCTTTGGGTTAAGATGTTGACCATGAACCCCAACGTCTCTGGTTCAAGTCTGGTCACAGACCTTTGTTGCATCGCCCTCTCCCTCATTTTCTGTCACCTCTTCACTACCGTTATCTAATAAAGAAAGAAAATGCAGGACAAGCAAATTTTAGAGCCCCACAAGGAAGACATGAATAAAAACAAAACAAACAATATCATTCAGTAGTAATATTAAGTTAGTGGATCATAATTTATGGAAAGATCATTTTCTTTTGTTCATGTCTGCAGCATCCACTGATGAGCTTTGGATTGGACTAAATGACAGGAAGACAGAGGGGCTGTTTGACGGGGGTGACCACTCTACTGTCAGCTTTACCAGCTGGGAGTTTGGGAAAGTAGCTGTCTCCACACATATTAAAGACTGTGTTCTCATCAGAGGAGAGGTAAGGAGCACTGTGTGGGTATGAGGCACATATCATCCATATGTACATGCACACAACATACATACACAGAGGGAAAGTGACATTAATTAATGTTCTTTCATTTGTCCAATAAACCAACACTAACTTGATTCATCAGGAAGCAAAAAGGAAAATTGTGCAGCAACATATCACAGTTTATTTAGATGTACATGCGTTAAATTGAATATACAATATATTGTGTACTGCAGATGTCTGTATCAATAGCATGATATTACATTTACACTGAATTTTTGTTTGACATCTTCCTGCCAGTACATCCACTCTCCTCACACATCAATACTTTATGGTGCTTTGTTGCAGAAGGGGAACTGGGTTGATCGTGTGTGTGATGAGAGACACGGTTTCATTTGTATGAAGAGGAGTGCTTCAAAACCAACTGGAGATGAAGTGGAACAGGACGTAGGGTGTAAAACTGTACGTTAAGTTTAATTATTCTTAATAAAAATAAATAAATAATAAAGATAAATAAATGAAAGAGGTTCATCCACCCACATCCAACTCAGCCATCACAATAAGCTCATCCGAGCTTTCTAACCTTTTTTGAGCACAGTATTTATGTTGTCTCCAGGAGCAGCGATCAACAGTTTGCAGTGCAGAAAAACACTACCTGACATTCTAAGCTTCAAAAAGAGAATAAAAAATGCTATCACAGTTAACATTTACAGCAGTTTGAAGTCATACATTGCAGGATCTGTCAGTTTCTGCTAAATTAACCTCTCCTTCCCGGCTCATTGATGTTTGTGATTATAGTGATAGCATCTTTCATTTTTTCTGATATAGCATAGGTTTGGAGAGTAATTGAAAAATGAGACATGTCATGTCCTGTCACATTCCAGATACACTGTACTATGGAAAACTTTCTAGATTTTTTCTATTTTAGAAATCGCAGTAGGGTATGATAATTTATATAATGGTCATTTTATATATTTTTTTGCCCAACAATCCAGGGGTGGAGGAAACATGGCTCATACTGCTACTTCATAGGGAAAGAGACCAAAACTTTTGATGAAGCTAAAGATGACTGCAAGAGTTCAGATTCTTACTTAGCTGATGTTTCAAATGGGTAAGAACATTCATTTTCATTAACATACAACTGAGATTTAAAAAGAGAATTTTAACAAAACAAAAAAAAAAATTAAGTAAGCCTTTGATATTTATGACTATGCTCTACTCTCATATTTACAGGGTGGACAATGCATTCCTCGTCAGCTTGGTGGGGATGAGACCAGAGAAGTACTTCTGGCTAGGACTCTCAAACCAGAAAAACATTGATGAATTTGTGTGGACCAACACAGATATAGTGAGGTTTACTCACTGGAACGCTGAAATGCCAGGTATGGGGATATTTTATTTTTTATCTTCTGTAAAATGTGGTAGAAAGTGGTTTCACAACTGACATTTCACGATTTCTCCCTTGACAACGCAAGGTCACCGACAGGGCTGTGTTGCCATGAAAACTGGGATTTTTTCTGGCCTCTGGGATGTGCTGCCTTGTGCCAATAAGGAAAAATACATTTGCAAACACCTGGCAGAGGGGGCAGTTTTAACTCCCGCCCCATCCACTCTTAACTCTCCGAAGTGTGCAGACGGCTGGAGTCCAGTGGTATCAAGGAACTACTGCTTTAAGGTACAACGACTACGAAAAAAAATCCACCTCAGCTTAAAGGATAAATTCATATTTTTCAAGTCTATCTTCATAAGTACTCAAATACCCTACATACACTGAAAATTAATGGTTGATGTAATCGTTGCTAAGCAATGTAACTTCATAGTGCAGCTACACTGAAAGAAAAGTGGGACATGGGATAAGATTTTAGGTTTGATATATAAACACCCATTAATATAGCCTCTTTAATTAAGGAATTATAACAGTTTCAGCTAGGTCAGTTGTTCCTCACTCATACACAAATGTATGCAACTTACCAAAATCTAAAAAGATCTTCGATTCTACAGTTGAGATCTATGGTGTAAGTAGGATATCTAAATTACACACTTTAAGTACCATGGTTCACATTTATAGAAATGCTTGTACATTGTTACAAAACAAAGCACTGAAATTACTCCAACCAGGTACACATACCAAGAATGCATCAGAACTTGGTGTGAAGTGACATGTTGAAGCTCTTTGTGAAGTTGTTTACAGAGTCATCTTACAAAAAGAGAACCTGGTATGAGGCCAGAGATTACTGCATGACCATTGGAGGAGACCTGCTCAGCATCCACAGCGCTGCTGAGCTTAAAATGCTGGATGATCGGTACAGTAGGACCTATCAAATTACAAAATTAAAAAATTACGAAACTAGTTGTAGTAGATGATATAGGTTGGGTAGTGTCTATAGCAGAGCACTGGGACATCACCTCTACAGATAACTATGAAGTCAGGCAAAAGATTGTTCTTCAAATGTTTTACAAATACGTTGTATGCTTAAATCATTAATATAACATTGTTCATTATAGCCGTCAAGCAGTCTGGATTGGACTTAGTGCCCCTGACCCAGTCACCGGTTTTGTATGGAGCGATGGATCCCCAGTGAGTGAAGAGTTTTTTACTTCAATTTTTAAATTTAGTTTATAGTTTAGGAGACTCAATTAAATAGACTATGTAGTTCTAAATCACTGTTTCTTCTATGTTTGTTTTTGTTGCAGCTGCAGTTCCAACACTGGGAGGATGATGCGCCAAACAATAAAAATAATGTAGAATCTTGTGCTGAATTTAAAGTGAATAGGTGGATGCGGAGTGGATCTTGGAATGATGTGCACTGTGAGACGTACCATGGATGGCTGTGCCAGATCCAGGCAGGTAAAATAACTGTTGATGGTCAATGATCAAGCCTGGCTTTCCAATAATGTCAATCCTCACATTTATTAAGGTGTATGTAGCCTCAGCTTGAAGCTAACTACTACCACTCTGGTGCTCTATTCAGTGTTCAGATTATAATATTCTTCTGTCCTTACAGGAGTGACTCCAAAGCCACCTCCAGACCCTGTCACTCCTGGTAAGTGGGCCATTTCCCTAAAAAACCACAAAGAATACATTGGAAATGTACTTTTAAGCCAAACCTTGTTTTCTAATGCATGGTCTAAATTTGCTGCTAACTTTACATTTCTGTTCTGATTGAAAATTAATTTCTAAATGACAATGTGTAGACGCACTAAAAATGAATGGAGGTCAGCCGCAAAGATAAATAATCTGTTATTCTCTGAAGCTGCTGCTGCTGCGGATTGATTGGATTGATCCTTGTTTAATATTTAGTGTGCCACGCTAGCTACACACCTTTACATTAAAACATCAGACTCCAAACAAAAATACTGCGATTCTGTAAGACTGTACTTAAATTAAATACTAATGTTAGTATGCTAACATGTTGATGTTGAGCAGGTATAATGTTTACCATGATCACCATCTTAGTTTGATGGCGCTAGATGAAAAGTTATGGTATCACCAAATGAATTACTTTTTCCTGATGGGGACATGAAGCTCTCTACCAAATTTCAGGGCAAGACATTTCACTCAAAGCTACAAATGTAAAACTCATGGTGACCCTAGCGGACAAGTCAGAGGGTCACCAAAGTCAGTAGGATTCAACCTCTGGGGAACATGAATATTTGTAAAATGATTGCAAATCCACTCAATAGTTCATGACACATTTCTGTCAAGACCAAAATGGTAGAACAACCAACTCAGTGACTGACCAACATTGCTATCCAAAGAGCCATGCTGCTTGAATGGTTAAGCATCTTGAACCCTGAACCTACATATATACAAGTGACATATTACATAATTGTAGCATGTTTTCAGACTATAATAGGACATCAGATGGGTGGCTAGAATGGAATGGAAATCAGTATTATCTTAACATAGCGTCGATGGCCATGGAAGACGCTCGTCGCTTCTGCCAACAGAAGCATGCTGCCTTGGTGACTATAAACAGTGAAGCTGAAAGTGTCTTTTTATGGAAACAGGTAAGCAGTGACACTTATACCACATTACTCATTAACAATAGCATTTAAGAGCAGGACATACTGAAATCTAATTACTGCTTTTACCATATGCCTCTGTCTGTGTATGTAGATATCCAGTTATCATTTGTCTTACTGGATTGGCCTGAATGTAGATCTTGATGGAACATTTACGTGAGTATGAATTAAGTAATGAGTAATGTAAAAAAGACAAGTATGAAAAACAAGTATGAAATATTGCTGATGTGACCAGTTGAATGATGTGTTGTGCTGGAATTTTTTTGGAAAATCTTAAAATAGTGACTGTTCGGGATTTTGCCTTTTTTTTTTATTGCATTTTTTCTTATTGCAATGAGGTCAAATGGCATCAGATTTCTTGCGCTACCTCCAGAGTCAATATGCAACGTTTAGTTTTCGTACATGGCAATCAAAGAGTTCTGCACATGTCTAACTTCCTGCAACAATTTATTGTGACGTTTCGGTGCTAGACATTCACCAGGCAAACCACCATTTGCCTCATCTGTCTAGGATCGAAACGTTGCAATAAATTGTTTGCTGCAAGTTAGACATTGTGCAGGATTCTTTTATTGGTACTTTGAATCCATTCATCCCCTTTACTATGCACCTGCCTCACAGAATAGATGTGCAAAGTTTTCTCCTGCTTTAGTTTTCATACATAAAAGCATTACTCAGATCTGACCTCACTTTCTGTTTATCCGGCTTCGCTTCCGTATTCAATTGACTCTAACAGATGAACGCTTTAGAAAATCAAAAACCAATGTGATAACTTTTGTGAAGGAAATGTTGGTCTCTTAAGCTTACTAGATCCACCACTATTGTCACTAGCTAGTTGCTAACTGTGTGTGTCTGGTCATGAGTGCTGGGTTTAAACTAAAATAGTTGCCAGCCAAAGCTGTTAAGGAGGTTGATAAGAGCTGAGTTTGCAGGCTAGAAAACCAAAACATTAATCCATAATAAACAAAAGGCTCTGTCAAGCTAAGGGTGAGAAGTTTGGTAGTAGTTCTGTAGGTTTGCCATTACAAACAACCTCTTCACATTATTCATTTATAAAAATTGTTAATATAAAACATTTTTTAGTGCATAATTAATCATAAAGCAGCATTATTCCTTTGAACAAAATTTGGTGGCATGAATTTAAGAGCAGGGCTCATTTTGTGACTCTTTTGCAGTGTAATTATAAGTTATAGTGTACAATTAGTATGTCTTTAAAAATTCAATTTTTCTTGTGTTCTAAGGTGGATGGATGGTTCTCCAGTGGAGTTTCAAAGGTGGGATGAAAATCAACCTGATTTCCATAACAATGATGAGAATTGTGCTATCATCACTAGCTCTATGGGTGAGTAACCCAAAATTGAATAATCTGCACTGGCATACATTCATCTGAGATCAGATGTAAAAATGCATATTGTTTTCCCTGAAATTAATTTCATATTTTTGGATTGGCTCACAGGGTTCTGGCATGATAATAATTGTGGGTATGAGTACAGATCCATTTGTAAACGCAGTGGCTCACCACCTGCCAATGCCACTGTAGCACCAACAGTTCCTCCAAGAGGTGGCTGTCCACAAAACTGGAAAAGATTTAAGTCAAAGGTCAGAGGCAACTTTTATTATCTCTTATAATAGTTGTTTCAATGGATTCAAGGGAATACCACCTGTAATGTACCTGTAATGAAATGGGCCTTCAATCTGACAACACTGCCTTTTAAGCATTGATCTATTCATGGTTGAAAAAATAATCTACTGCTCATTTGAAATATAACACACAGCTGTCAATTTTTCACCTATAGTGTTACAACATCATTAATAGCCAGAGGGAGACATGGGAAGGAGCAAGGACACAATGTAAAGCAATGGGAGGAAATCTAGCCTCAATTCTCTCTAGACATGAGGAAGGTTTGTTTTATGATTTTTCCAGAAAGCTACCATTTCTATATTCCAGAGAAATGTAAATCGTGAATATTTCAGAATATATCATTTCTATATTCTATAGAAATTTATATAATTTATATTTCATATAACTATACATTTCTGGTGGGTGTTAGCCAGAAACAATGGGCCTCATTATTGAAAGGTTGTACAAATTTGAAGTTGTTTGTGTCAGCCGAGAATTTTTGCTGGCTTCCTCAATATTGTCCTTAATCCAAAATGCGTCCACATGTATAAAATTTATATAAAAGTAGATCTTGAAACTTTTCGGTCATAGACCTTTGGGCGTTCATTGCATGCTATTTATAGTGAAAGAGCGTGCAATACCCAGCTTGCAGAGGTTAATATTAACACATGATTATTGTCTTTACAGAATCTAGCTGAGTTTCTTAGCTAAGTGAGCAGTGGAAACTTTTGTTCTCAGAGTCAAAAGGTTTGAAATGCTCAAGTGAGTTATGTTATATATGTCAAAGATATGTGGCCCTGACACACAAAAAAAAACAACTTCAAAGAACAAAAGGTTTTCAAAATAATCAAGATATGCATAGCCTCACATTATCCTCTGTCTTCTAGTAAATGCTGTACTTAACACACCACAAAGACTACAGGTAACATCAGGCTAACCATAAACTGTACATGTACAGTATGTTCTGCACCTTGCATAAATGGAACTAGACAAACCACACTGCCACTCCAATTAAATAGTCTTGGTATATATGCTCCAAATTCAAATTGAGAATGTCTGATTAAAATTTGTTACATTTGTGTGACATTTTCAGTGTTTTTGTTAACTGAAATGGCTAAGACACCTACAACAAACCTGTGGATTGGTTTGTATAGTCGAAGTGGTCAACGGTTTCACTGGACAGACGGGCGACCAATGCGATACAGCAACTGGGGGAGTGATGTAAGTGGATACTGTAATTTTAATATTAAAATTTTAAGTAGATGTAGTAGTTATGTGCTGCACTACTAAAAAAAAGTTTTGCTACACCGATAAAACTTTCTGTAGTTGTGCATGTATGAAAATGTGACTTTCTCCACTGTTGCAGTGCCACTGTTCAATGACATTTAGAGGATTATCTTTGGGTAACATGTTTAAACTTTACTGTATTTGTAGCATAACTGTGTCAACTTGGAGCAAAAACAACTGAGGCTATGCTTCATGTGCACACAACTCAATTATATGTATATATACCTCTGAGAAGCGCCACCAAATGTGGTGGAGGGGGGTTGTGTTTCCCAGTGACCCTGGGAGTTTTGTTGGTGGGGGAAATAGCCCCCTGGTAGGGTCTTCCAAGGCAAATTGGTCCCAGGGGAGGGGCCAGACTAAGAGCGATTCACAAAACCCTAAATGGATAGGTGACCTTAGAGCTGTAGCACCTTGCCTGGAAAAGGCACCAGTGAAGGGAGCTTGCTGCCGAGCGTCTGGTGGCTGGGCTCAGCCTGAAAAGTCAACATGGAGCCACCATTAGGGTAGGGTGCGATGCAGACCAGGTGGCCGGCAAAGGCAGGGACCTGTACGTGCTGATCCCCAGTGTCGCAGACCAGGCCTAGGAATGTGGGACGTCACCTCTCTCTCTCAGAAGCCTGAGCTGGTGCGGGAGGTGGAGTGGTACTTACTAGATGTAATTGGGCTCACCTCTATGCATAACATGGTTTCTGAAACCAAACTCCTGGAGAGCACCTGGACGCTCTCCTCTTCCGCAGTCGCCCAGGGTGGCAGGCACCAGGTGCGTGGGGGAGATACTTACAAGCTCCTGGTTCAGCACCACGGTGTTGGAGTTCTCCCCGGGGGAATGAGAGGGTCACCTCTATGCGACTGCAGCTGAGGGGAAGGCTCTGCCTGTTGTGTGATTATGCACCGAACAACAGCTCAGAGTATCAGGCCTTCTTGGAGTCTCTTGGTGTTCTGGAAAGGGTTCTGCCTGGGGACTCAACAATTCTGCGGAGAGACTTTGATGTCTGAAGACTCAGGGGAAACCTCATCCATAGCTCTGGCAGAGTTTGCTGTGGTGGTCAAGAAGCTCCTCAGCAGCAAGGTGCCATGTGTGGATTAAGATTCCGCCTGTGTGACGGCCCCTGCTTAAGTGTAGTTGTCGTGGGCAGTTGCTGTGCTTTTGTATCCTCAAAGGTAATGGAAGGAGGTGATTACGGTATCCAGGTTTGGAGCACCTGGACTACACGCTCCCAGGAAATAAAGACACAGGCTCACATTGCTCTTCTCTCTCTCTCACCCGGACTCATCCCCGCCAGTGTCGGCACATATTCTTTTGTTTGGCTTTTGTTTTCGTTTTGTTTCAAAACATCCTAAAATTCATTATATTCACACATGCACATTCATATCACTGATATTACTGACTGACACACTCTATTGTATTTGCCTCTTCAGTTTATTCATTTTTATAATAAATACTCTAATCAACCGTCCTCAGTCGTGTCCATTGCCTAATTTGTCTTGGCCTAGGAGCCAGGTAATGACACCTGACATGCTGAAGGCTTTGGACATTGTCGGGCAGTCACGGCTGACATGCCTCTTCAATGTCCCGTGAAGGTCGGGGACAGTACCTGTGGAGTGGAAGACAGGGGTGGTGGTTCCCATTTTAAAAAAAGCGGATCAGAGGGTGTGCTTCTATTATCCAGGTATCTCATTGCTCAGCCTCCCTGGGAAAGTTTTTTTTTTTTTGGGTAGTTTTTTTCCTTTATTCAGATAGGAGCAGTCAGAGTGACAGGAAAGTAGGGGAGAGAGAGGGGATGACATGCTGTATCAGTATTCTCGGCACAAAGTCAAGAACAGTTTCGGTGAGTATTGGACTGCACCAAGGTTGTCCCTCATCTCCGTTGTCTCCCTTGACTCCTATTTGTGATATTCATGGACAGGATCTTGAGGCGCAGCCAAGGTGAGGAGTGTGTGTGGTTTGGAAACCTCAGAATTGCATCTTTGCTTTTCACAGATGAATGTGTGAAGCAATCGGTGTGAGAGTCTCACCTCCAAATCTGAGACCATGGTTCTCAGCCTGAAAACGGTGGACTGTTCCTTCTGGGTTGAGGATGAGTTTGTGTCCCAAAAGAAGGAGTCCAAGTATCTCGGGGTCTTGTTCATGAGTGAGGGTAAGATGAAGCAGTAGATGAACAGACATAGGTAGACTCGGAACTCGCTGGGTTGTACATATTTGGCCTTGGAATGCCTCGTGATCACCCAGAAGGGGCTGGAAGGCATTGCTGGAGAGGGGGATGTCTTGAATGCCCTGCTTAGCCTACTGCCACTGCGACCTGACCCTGAATAAGTGGAAGAAAATGGATGGATGGATACGTTTTTTTAATAACTTTTCAGTGTATTGCTAAAATTTCTCACATACTGGTTTTACATTGCAGAGAGATCACCTTGGCCTATTTTATGATGATGAGGTAAAACTATTTTGATTGTAAATTGTAAAACCACATTATTTGTCTTGACTGGGGGAAAAAATACATCCAACTTTTATGACAAGCTGGGTATTTGCCTCTGGCGCACACAGCCTTTGTCTAGAATTGTGATAAAATATATGCATCTATATTGTAATATATTTTTTGCTTGAGTATTCATAGCAATTTCTGACATCCTCTTTTTCATTACAGATTCATTACTATATACAGCAAATGTACAAGGTAATGGTTTCTTGACGCACTGTAATAGGCAATACAACCTCATTTGCTGTGACATGGAGTTTTGTGACAACCAGACATACATACCTGTCATTGACAGCTGATAAAACTATTTGTTTGGGGGGTTCTTGGTTAACATGTGAAGATATTTATATGGAATTGTTGAAACAAACTAAAAGAAATTAAGTATATACAAAAATCCCTTTTAGAGGTTAAGTACACTGCATAGAAATGATCCAGTACCTTGCTGTCTTACCGGCTTAGTTCAAGTTAACATGAAAAACTCGTCATTGTCAGTGTATGGTGATTTATATGATGATGCATTACCATTAGAGCTGCCTCATCTTAACCAAAAATAACTGGTGACTTGGTTAACTAATGATCATGTTTATCAAATATTTAAAGTTGTCAATCACTTGTCACTGATGCCAGTGATTCACGCTATTAGCACAAGAGCAACAGAGTTCAAGAGATCCTTCTGCATGATTGCATTTATCAGCAGAACATGTATCACGACTGCTACAAGATGAACCAGATTCTTACAATATTTCTCTTTACCTCACTATTCTCTCTGTGCTTCAGTGTGCTGCAATGACTGCCAATCCGAGGATCGGCAGAGGGCAATGGACAGCATTGTCCTGCAATGACACCAATGGATATGTCTGTCTTCAAAATCTTGGTGAGCCTATCCTCTGGCCTTTCTCTTAAATGCAATTCCTGTGGCCTAGAGTGATTTTAGTAGACAAGAAATGGCACAGTATTGTCCACTGGTATTAGTTACATACAGCAATTTCCAAGGCATTTGTCATCTGGGCATCACTTATTCAATTAATCAAATTATCATTTTGTCTTCAAAATGCCAGAAAATAGTAACAAATGTCTTGTTTTCAAAGATATTCAGTTTCATATCATGAGTTACAAAAATAACATAAAACCTTTGTATTCAAGCAGTTAGAAACAGCAAATAGTTGAAATGCTTTTCCTAATAAAAATGATTAAAAATTATCATTTAATTATCAAAAGAGCTGCTGAATAATTTTCTGTTGATTGATTAAACATTGCAGCTCTAATTCAAATATGTTACATGCCCTGTGCATGACTAAGAAAACAACAGCTTTGAAACTAGAATTACCGCTTCACAGTTGTATGCCCCTGCCAAAAACACTTTTTGTGTTCTCGAGACATCATGTTCACAAGGCCAAAACCACGTTTTCTGAGTTCATCTTGACATTTGACATTTGACTAGCAAAACCTAATCAGTTTATCCTTGAGTCCAAGTAAATGTTTATGCCAAATTTGAAGAAGTTCCATCAAGGCATTAATGAGATACTGAGTCCATGAGAATGGGACAGACAAACAACCCGAAAATAATATGCCTCCTGTTCTGGCTGTCGCCAGCAAGGAGGCATTAAAAGGCCTGAATTTTAGTCTCTGTAGTTTTAACAACATTTAATGCACAAATATTAAAATCAGGGATAATTCCACCTTTACACCCGCTAATTGAACTAAAGCAACTGGTGATCTGTTGTGTAACCATACTGTAATCAGTATTTTGCAATGATCAAAGTTGTGATTTCATTAAAAAATGTAACTTTTAAGCATCTAACAAAGCCCCTGACCTAAGGATGAATAGTAAAACTAAATTTGTCTCAATCTCACCCTAAACAGATCCATCTCTCCCGGACTCCCCCGAACCAACAGTTCCTATTGAATATGTCAAAGTATTCAATGACTCTATCAAGGTTGTTACTCAACCATTGAACTGGGATGCAGCCCAGAAGCGCTGTCAAAGTGATGATGCCAACCTGGCTAGCCTACGAAATGAGTGGCCACAGGTCTATGTCGCGCTGATGACTTTGAATCTGAACTCTCCTCTGTGGATTGGACTCAACAAAAACCAGGTACAGGACACAAAGTGTCTCAAATAGCACATAGCAAAATAACACCACTAATGTCTGCGTGTAACTTGACATTTCTTTGTTACTGTAAATGTTCAAGTAAAAATGTGGCAACAGTGACTTGTGTCTGATTGAAAATTTTCACTTTAAAATTTGTATTCTGTAATTGCTCGCATTTAGTAGTATTTTTTTATATATGAATTGCCAATTGATTTATATTATTGATGACCTTTATGAAGTTGCTAACCCCTAACCCTTTTCTATGCTATTGTCCATGACATGTAGCATGAAATCCTAATTGAGCAACATTAGTGCACATACGTATATAGATCATAGATAGATAGATAAGTGATGAAGGCTGAAAGCTAATTATAAGAAAAGGTAAGAAAATAATTAAATTTTAAATGAAGTTCCCAAAGATTACAGATTTCTTTGAAAAAATTCTGAATGCAGGTTGATCAATCTGTGCTTTCAGACTGGTGGAAATTTCAGATATGTTGATGGCTGGCATATGACCTTATCCAATTGGGATAGAAATGAACCAAGCACAGACCGACATTGTGTATATGTGGATGTGGATGGAAAATGGAAGACCGCTGACTGCAATAAGAAAATGACCAGTGTTTGTATGAAGACTACAGGTAGGGCTCATGTCAATATTAACATCTGGACCACTGTTTCAATGTTAATACAATTAATTACACAAATTACATTGATTATAGGCTGTCATCATTGCATTTTGTTTTAAATGTGACAAACTTTTCTTTCTCTACAACAGTGTCAAATAGGTGCTTACTTCAGTGCATTGGATTTGAAAGTATGTACTGTAATTAGATAACCTCAGTGTCGTCACCGTCTCTACCATTCACAGACATACCACCAACAGAGTCAAGTGATTTCCCAGGATTTTGCCCTGATGACCCAGAAACATCCAGTTACAATAGCCGCAGGTCCACTTGGCTAACATTTAAGGGTCACTGTTACCTCTTTGTCACAGAGAAAAAAAAGTGGGTAGATGCATCTGCTAGCTGTATCAGACATGGTAAGGATTTTCGACGGATTGTCTAATACATATTCTTAATCACTCAGTTGTGTTTTGCTTTAAACAAGGACCTACTGTTTTTTTGTTTGTTTGCTTGTTTTTTTTAGAAGGTGCAACTCTTGCCAGCATTGAAGACCCCTCTGAGCAACAATTTATTCAAAACAATGTGAATATATATAAAGACAGCGAATCCTTTTTCTGGATCGGCTTGTATAAAACTCACACAGGTACTGTCACATTGTCAGTAGACACACATTAAGCCACATTTTGTTGAACATAAGACGAGAAAATATTTTTCGTGAATCAGAAGCTCTGAAACAAAGAGGTTATAAAATTATTGTATGTTGATCATTTATTTGTGCTGAATGGAGAACTGAAACTGGCATAGAAACTACATTTGGTCAACAACAAATGTAAATGAATATATTCAGACACCAGAATACTGTTTTCAGTGACCAATTAATGTGGCTATGATTTCATTACGATTACATTTCACAAAATAACCTCTCTTTTCCAGATATATCGTTTCAATTTTTTTTAAAGATGGTTTTCACTTTTCACTGTAAAAATATTATGTATAAAAGCACATTTGGAAAGTCTTGGTAAATTGTGTTTCCTTTCACACTGAAAGAAATTATGTTGAGTATCAAACTAAAGAAACGTTTCATCTGGGACAAGTCGAAAAAAAAAAAAATTCAGAATTTTCTTTGTCACCAGGTTTATGGAAATGGTTGGATGAAACAGTCATGGACTACACTAACTGGGATTTAAGTCTATTTAGGGACGGCGCTCATGGATCGATTAAATCGTCAAATGGGGGGTGGAGCACAGACAGACACTGGCTAACGAGAGGATATATTTGCAAAGCACCCAAAGGTGAGACCATCACAGTTACTAGGACTTATAGTTAAGTTTGAATTAAAGTAATGTTTTTAAAGTAATAGGAAATTCATTCAGTGATGAAACTAACATATATTCAGAAACTGATTGCGATACTTAGAATATGCTGTCAATGAAATGATAAAGAAAAGCACCTCTTGTCCTTTAGAAAGGTTTATTTAATAATAATGTAATGTTTGTTTTTCTAGTATTACAAGACACACCATCGACAACAGGTAAGTTCCATCTCTTCATCATTATTATTTGACTCATAATTATGATTTAGTTGTTACGATTGAAAATCATCTCTGTGTTGAATCTGTACAGTAAGTCCAACGGTGGATCTTCAAACCCATGGCCACATAATTTTGACAATTGTTCTGGTTATCAGTACAATTGGCGTGGGGATATTCATTGTCCTCTTTATCCTCAAGAAGTCTGGCCACCGCTTATGCATCTCTGAAAAGTCAACTAACTTTGACAACGCACACAACGTCTCCAGCAATGAGCAGTTCCTGTCTGATCTGGTGGCCACCAATGAGCTGGTACCAAATGCAGAGGAAGAGAGCCCTGAGCCTGTTATAATGTTGTAATGTAAATACCAACAGAGTGCTACAGGTATTCTTAATTAGAGAACCAATAACTTTAATGCAGTTGGCAATAACTAACCTTAATCAACATAACTATTAAAGCTGTAGAAGGGTGACATTTTAATCCACGCTTTATTTCACATTAAGATACTCTACCTGCTAGGAATGTGCAGTGGACTTTTGCATTTGCCAGACTGCTAACTGTGTAAATGACCTTTTATCTGTCTAGAAATCCTGGTGACTCCTAAGACATTGTATGTCTTGCTGATGAGAATCAAAACAACTGTACTAAAAGATGTTGTAAATAATAAAACAATGTCATCTACATTAAATCTTATATTTGACTTTTCCCTATCTTGTAAGAAAAAAAAATCATAGTGGGTTTATCGGTGCACTGGAGTGCTTCACTTTGCTTAGCTTAAATAATTAATGTTTTTTTATTAGCATTTTCTTCATGTTTACATATCTAGTCCACCACTTCCTAGGCAGAAATATACTTTATCTTTCACATTTATGTGATAGCTCTGGTTACAGCTACTGCTGTAGTTGTCAGAAGTTCATCTAATTGGCAAGTAAAATTTAGCTGCAAAAGAATGTCTGAAACCTGAAAACAGCCTTTGTAAAAGCACAGAAAGGGTTGTAATTGGCAGTAAGAAATCTTGGACACAAACTTCCCTCATGTCACCAAATAATAATGAATACAAACTGACGAATTCTTAGAAATTGAACTGCAGAGCTACTAAACAGCAGCAACAGTCCAACATGTCATGTTTCATCATTGAACACTGACACTTGCAGTGATATTTTGTATCATTTATCATTCAGGTATTAATACAGAAGCATAACATATGAAATTAACCAATGCAACATTAATTTATGTGGCTGGCTTTTTTCACATTAACATTTCCATATCATTTTCAATACGGCACGAGTTTGAATTAAATGGAATCAGATTAACATAAAGGCTGCAGTGGCAAAAGGTTTAATACGCACACATTAAGTGTATTACCACTTTCTAAAATCACTGTAATAAATGTATTATCTTAATCTTCATCTCCTGTGCATAAAGAAAATTAAATCAGTTTAATAAACTGCTCTGACATTTTTAAGTTGTATGGGAAATTCAGCTCCTATCAGATCAGTCTATAAAAACTATTTGTCCCTCATGGTGATACCGATCGAGGCAAAGGAGATTTAAAAACCCTCGTACAACCACTGTAATAATCTGACCAATAGTCTCTCCTGTAGTTTTAATCTTCATTCATGCCCACTGCATGAAGAAATCAATGAATACCTAACAATTTACAAACAGCATGTGAACAAACAGGAATCAAACAATTGAGTTCCAATTTATTCGGATATTATTACAGGTCGGAAAATTTGTTCTCTAATAACGATAAATGATGTTGAAATGTATCAGTGGATTTGCTGTGAAAAGGAGGGGTGAGTGTTTCTGCAATGCCAAAATACATTTTAAAATCCATCAATTCAATATGTCATTATGTAGCTTCTCAGGATACAAAAATTATGTTCAGCACATTTCAAAACTATACTTTGATACAGGTTAGACCAAAAACACTCACAGAAGGTTATATTCACATCAAACAGAATCAATGTGTCATGGTCGATGGAGTGTGAAAAAGTTTTAGGATATTAGGTTATTTAGATTCTTATCTGCCCATCACACAATGCCATCAAGGAGGCATGTGTTTGGTCCTAGATTCAGTCTGCAGCATGACAACAACCCCAAACATACAGTCAGAGTAAAGAAGAACTGTCTTACGCAACAAGAAGAACAAGGACTCCTGTTTTAAAGGCAAAGGGAGGACAAATATTGATTTGAATACATTTTCTTTTCAGTTAAAGGCACTTTGTATTGAGTTAACTGATAAATAACAAGACTAGGTCAAAGCCTAGTATATGTCTGACTCTGGACCACCTATGGTCAAATCCTGATTTTATAACTGCGACGTCATCTGACAACACATAAATTTAAGACAAAGATTAAGCTGTGATTTCAGCTATATTTATTGTAAAATGATCAATCAGGGAGAAAGTTAGAAGAGACAGACTATCTTTCTTTGCTTAAAGTTATTTTTTCAGGCTTTCGCCTTTATTTCAGTCATAGTGGGATAGAGAGAGGCAGGAAAAATGGGGAGAGAGAGAATGACACGCAGCAAAGGGCCACCGGCTGGACTCCAACCCAAGCCAACAGGGCAAAGACTAAGTGCAAATGGTATGTGCTCCACCAGGTGAGCCACCAGGGTGCCAAGAGACAGACTATATGTCTTAATTTGTCTCTCACACAGCCCAGAGCCTCCGTCTGTTTCTTGTAAAGGGTAAAAATTATGAACTTCATAAAAAACTAAATCTGACAATTTCGTTTCTTTCCCCAAAATGATAATGGGAATTGCAATTTATTACATATATATTTGTCATTCACACTGACATACACCTAGTCCTGGACTGTACCTGCAAGCTGACCAGCTGCCCAATTCAGCTGGTCAGCTTGCTGACTTGGATGATGGTTAATATCACATTCAGTCAAGACACTTAAATTATTCTGTTTTCACAAAACTAACAACAGATGTATTTGCAAGAGACAAAAAACACTGTAGAGGAAATGCTTTGGCCAAATTGTGCAGAACCATGCAGAAAAGTTTAACAGCGATGCACCAGGGATTGCCAAACTCTCACAGCTCACTTCTCTTATTCACAGAAGCCATTTCCTCTTTGAATATTGTGTTGTTTTCAAAAAGAACACAGATCAATGTTTCTTATTAACTATTTCTCAAGTTTAAGTATTTCATATTTTCATTTCTTTAGTACTGTCCACTTGTAACACTGCATATTAACCTGACATGTTTTTTTTCTAGAATTTTACCATGATCCTCCAAGCCTGCCTTAGCAGCTTAGTTTGCCCCCCTCTTTTTTTTTTTTTTTTTTTTTAAGAAATTATGTTTATATATATTACTAAATGGTTTTGCCAAATACATTGTGGAGTCCTGCCTATATTATGTTAACTGGCAATGTTTTCCAATCCAGGAAGTGTTAAGCCGGCTTTATACTCCATCCAAAGTGCTTGTTGATGGTCAAATTGCTTTAGAAACCCACAACCCCCAAACCTTTCCAAGGTTTAATTTGTTATGTACTACTAGAAATTATATACTCCTGAAATACAAGAAAACCACATAGGGAAACATGTAAAATAATTAAAACATATTACCCTGAAAGAAGTAACAGAAAATAAACTAACTAAGCCAATAACTGAGGCAGAACTACCTGTCAGCTATATATATATATATATATGTGTGTGTGTGTGTGTGTGTGTGTGTGTGTAATTATGGTATGAAAATGACCACGGTGTAAAAAAAATGGAACTATAAAAAACTGGATAAAAGTAGACTCCACTGATCATGTGTTCATTTGATATCAGTTGAATCATCTGGCAATTGAACATACTCCATCAATGAAAGTCAGAAGATGTTGAGATTAGTTGAACTGGGGTAATTTTCATGCTATTATAGTAAATGTTGTTAGGAATTTGCTGTGATGATATATATATATACACATATATATACACATATATATATATATATATACTGTATGTATATATGATATATATATATATATATATATTATATTTTTTTTTTTTTTTAAATAAATAACATATTAACATATACAAAGTACAATGATTGTAAAAATCTGATGAAATATAAAAATACAGAGTGCAAAATTCAAAGTGGATAAAATGTGTTTGAAAACTCTGGAAAATAGATTTTTTTTTTGTAATACGGCTATATCCGAGTCAAGTAATTAACCTTCAAGCTCAATATTTGCTGTTGCAAACTAGTAGCAAAAAATTTAACTGTTATGACACAGTATTAGGCTATGACACACTAGTCCAAAATATTATTGCTTGGTACCATTATGCGCCAATGTGCCATTATCGCTGACCATTGCCTGCAGTTTTTCTGTGTTCAGTAGCTTTGGCTCTAGTTGGTCTCAAATGGCTATCTGTATGATCCATTTGTCCATACCTAATCTATACCCACTTCTTCCAGCTGACATTTGGCAAGGTAAACTGTCTTCCATGACACTGATGACGCCTACAGCCAATTTATAGTTGCCATGTAATCTACCCTGCATAACTTGCAGAAGTAATCCAGAGCACCTGGAGGACACCCATTGAGGTCCAAGGAGACATTATGTGGTACAAGATGATATGAGCATCTAACAGTCCTAGTCTGTGGTTGTTTTCTTCAAGCTGGCTTTATGTGTCAGGGCCTTGTGGATTTGTTTGCCCAGTCTGACTGCCTTCTTGTTGACTGCAAGCCTGCCTTCAGTCCTAGTAAATACTTTTTTACCACACTTGTACTACTGAGCTATGTCTGTTGAGAAGTATTCTTCAGTAATATCATTAAATGATTAAACAAGCCATTCCATCAAAATACACTAAACAGTAACTGATGTTCAAAAATGACAACCACGAAAAAAGATTGGACAATTGGAAACATTCTGACATTTCTTGAGAAGGTGTAGAATTCACTTATGAAAAAGGTCAGCAATAAAAGGGCTTCCTTGTTGTGAAAATTTTGCACATTACCAAACCATGAGGTTCCCTAAAATAACTGGAATAACTGGTGGTGACATTACTTGCAACACTGGAATACAAAAATAAGCTAGCACTATCAAACATCAGAAATCTTTCAATCATGTATTCCGTATAAGAGTAGACTGGCAGTCATTTATGAAGTCACTTACATACTTGCTTACTGGCGATACTGACACTTCCTGTTTTCCTTAGCGTCAGTTTATTATGCAATCGCAAACGTCCAGAAAGATGAGAATTCAGTGTTTTAAAATGAAACAGCTAAGTGTGCAAATATCAGCATTTGGGTACTTGAAAAAAAAATTATTTGCCCCTCCTTGTTCATCTTAAGTAAAAAAGGTTTCAAAAAAATTTGTCTATGACAAGACACAAACAAGCCATGATGACATGACACGATGTGTCAGTACTATTGAGATTGACTTTTGAGAACCACTCACACAGCTCTAAAATCCTTTGCAAGAAATGCAGGGATTAAGTGTTCTGCCATAAGACATTTCAGAGGAATTCTTACAATGAGGATAACTTGTACATCTTTTGTGCTCCTCATCCAAATGCTCCAATGTTTGGCTTCAGATGGTACAGTATTCCAACTTTTAATTTTCAGCTTTTTATGAGATTCAGCAAATGTTCACTCTACTCTGTATATGAGATTGTTCTTTAACATGTGTCAGTGAGTAACATATTTTGTGTTACCTGTGTTACCTAATGAATCCTTGTACATTTCAATATTGACATAAGGCTTTTTTACTTTGTGCACTTATAATTTGCAGACAACGTATTTAGACACAGCAAAATGAACTCCAAGGACAGACTCTGTTAACAGATGTCCTTTACAATGTCTCTCTTGTGTCTCTACAGATTCACCATTTCAACTAACTAACAAGGCCACTGGTTCTTGTTTGGTTCAAACAAATAACAAATGCAATGACATACGCTGGACGACTGGTGACCGACTTCTGATTCAACAGAGGAGTAAGTGCCTGGGAGTCCAGGGGAAAAGTGTGGGGAGTGAAATAAACCTCTACGATTGTGACGAAAACAGTGAACTCCAGAAGTGGGAATGCAAGAATGAAACAGTGCTCGCTCTCAAAGGCCAAGAGCTTTACATTGAGCTCACTGCAGATAACACAGCAGTTCTCTCTAAAACAATAGGACCCAATAACCACCTCGCAATTTCAGGGACGTCCAGCGGTGCCTGCACAAGAACATACAGAGGTACAGTACCGCATACAACAGT